CATCAACATCATCATCATCATCATCATCATCATCATCATCATCATCATCATCATCATCATCATCAAAGACAGCAACATCGGTGTTGGCACTGATGCTTCACTGCCGTACAACAAATAGCAAGACCACTATGTTTCAGCCTGGAATAGCAGAGTAAATTTCGGTGAGCAGTTAACTGAAATTTCAACCAGAATTAGTTTCTGTATGGTAAATTTAACAACGCGGGGCGTATCCATTCACGAACTGTTGTACATTTCTTCCACGATCTCTGAGTTGTAAAATTTTCCCATTTAGCACAGCAGCCTGAGCAGTTATGTCGGTTTAATCAAAATATAGCCACATTATGAATCAATCCCAACAAGTGTCTGGATCATTTGGATGATTCCTCAGCACAGGACTCTTGAAAAGCCACAGAAAAAGTCGTCTTTCAGGCAAAAAATAAAAAAAAGCAGAAAATCGCGGGAAACTAATAAGCGCCACGCGCAGATCCCCTTTGAAGGAGTCTCAGGTCAGCAAAACAGACAAGTCAAAGCTTGAAAAAATGGCTGATATTTCGACAAAAGTCACTCACTGAAGTCCAAGTAAGGCCAACCAATATTTGGAACGTTCCATCGCTCAGATTAGGAAAGCGACTTTTCACCTCGGAACAGCTTCTCGGTGCGCCTGATAAATTGGACGAAAAAAGGGACCTCTAAAATGAGTGGGTATGAATTATCTACAACACCCATCAGTTTGGACTTAACAAACTGGGGCCGTCCATTAGACTAGGAGGTACTGACCCAAGTAGGGATGAGTGAATACATGGACAAAGTTATGGACAACACACTTACTGGCACATCGATCGGGACATAAATCCCAACTTGAAGGTTTCAAATGTGGCGGACAGAGGGAGTCTGAATATTCGTCACCGAGTATGTCGACACACCGAACACGTCTATAGCGAGCACGCACACCACATCCTCTTGGACACTGGAGCAGTGAAAAAAGTCAAAGAAATGTCGTAAGACCGGCGTCATTTCTTGGAAACAGTGATTGAGGGCTGTGAGCTCAAATCAAACCTAGATGATAGCTTTGAGAAGCGCGAGTGAGCTATCGATGTAAATAACAGATCTTCTAACCAGTATGGGTTAACCGATACGGTTGTCTGTCTCTATCAAGAACTGGGAGAAATTCGCGCAAGTTCATTCACTGGAACAATGCTGGTACCTCACAATGATGATTAGCTACACGGTGTGTCGCGTTCGGCCACACAACCGGAAGTCTTATTCTAGAATCGGAGAAAGTTTATGTTCAGCAAATCGCAAAGTTGCCTGCATCAGTGAAGCAACTACATTGGCTTTAAGTCCACCCCCAGTCTCTTTTCTGAAATTGTTTCAAGAGAATGCACTTGTGAGGCTCCGTGGGGATTGGATAAACATTGAGGTGATTTTTTAAACATGTGCACACTGTGAAGAAGCTTACCGGACTCCAGGGGTCATGGCTCCATTCAAATCGCATGCATTTCAGAGGGACGCAGGGTGTCCATTCGGATGGGCGTGGCAAATGCATACAAGAACTGTCGTCAATGGGACCCCGTAATGAGCTGAGACATTTGATTGAACGTTCACGTCGGCCCACCACGCAAGTCTGGCTGTCGCACTGTACCAAGTGAAAGAAAATTTTGTGATCAGCAAGTTCTCCTCAACGATTTTCTGGAGGGTATGCAGTATTGTTTGTATAGGTGCGTCTTTGGTTAAGTACCGTTACTGCATTACTTAACGGATTTTCCACCTTTGACATACATTGTCCAAGACAGATATACAACCAAATTAAAGAAGTGAGTTGCTGGAACTTCGGTAAGAGCAGCGCATGAGGTCATGGCGTTTTTGAGACTTTCTATCCGTAGCTACTTCTACTCAGTGGTCAGACGTGTTGAAATAACGATTCGTCGGCCATACAACCCATCATGAGTTTCCGCACGGAACTCATTTCTGATAATTAAAGTGCGGACTTAATGGTATCATTCTAGAAAATAAGCACGTGAGATTCGACTGGTGAAAGTCTGGTACATATACTCTTAAATGTGCGCACACCTGTGATTGTAATATATCTGATTGTCAATCTATGCTATGCATCGCACACTTGCGAAATTCGTGTTTGTTTTGTGCAGGAGAGTAACTAATTCGGTGATTATCCAGTCGAACATCAAAAGAGTATCACGAAAGCGTACCAGAGAGTGCCAAAAAGAGACTCATAGAGCAGCGTCACGCTGCGTTTATCCCAAAATGTTGTCAGTGTGGGTTAGGTATAAAGCGGACATTCGAAAATGGAGCGTAAACTCTGGAATTTGCTGTAAACGCATGTGAAAGTATGAACAGATTTGAGAAGAACGACTGAACTAGAAGTAAACGAGATACGCTTGTTCAATGAAGGTTGGAAGAGGCGCGAAAATATCTTTGCTGAACCACCAAATGGTCATGAGTACTGATTGTTGGTCCCTTGAAGAATTCGGATACCGATCGGACAGAAGTTGATCTGTTCACCGAGCTTGGCGATTGGTTTGCAAACGTTTCGTCCCCAGTAGAGCAGACATCGTCAGCGCGCAGTTTCAAAGCCCATTGCCAAGATCGGCGAACAGATCAACTGCCATCTGATCAACCACCGGTAAACACACCCGAGCTACCTATATTTCGATAAATTGACAACAGGATTCGGATAGTTAGAGTTTTATCTGATTACACAGCGGTCCCCAAAGAAACCTGGCAATAGGCAAGCATGGGCTTGAAATTTCACCAAATAGTCAGGGCAAAGGTGCACTGGGTTACCCAAAACCTTAGTTGGATGAGCGAAGTCGTCTTTTATAAGTTTCGTCAGGTCTGCCTAGACGCTATCCTCTCGTCGGTCCTCCGAGTAGGCAACATCAATTAGGCGAAACTTTCCGACTACTTATGAGTAGGCAGATTATTGTCCGAATTACTCACTGACCGGCTTGTGCAAGGACCACACTCAAAATCAAACACAGGCTACATAAACGCGTTGTCACGAGTTTATAGGTTAAAAATGTCATTCGCGTATCCCATATATCTGCACCCAACAGATGATCTTTGATAGGGACGAAAACGCTCGTGCGGTTTGGGTTTAAGCATCCGACCTCCCCTTCACACTAATCGGGTCATTTACATCAATAAAATTAACGGAATGAAGATTTGGTCCCATCACTACTTAGCTTCATACTTCTCTGTTGATTTAACCCTTAACTTAACCACATATTCCGACTTCCAACTGTACTTATTTCAATGAACTGCTCAACTTGACTTCTTCCGCAATTTCGAGGGCAATTCAACGAAAGTCACGAGGTGAATACTTGACGAAACTACTGCCTACGCCCAACGACTGTCCGAGGCAGCTTGGACCGGCTACTCAGCAGCGTTGATTATGATAATTATGATTATTATCACAGTGCGTAGGACATATATGTATATATATATATGACAAAGCAAATCCCATGTTTTCAGCTTGAAGTCTAACGAGAGGACACTTAGGTATGTGGCCATTTAATTATAGAAGAACACTTATTTTAATAGCTTCCAATGAAATCGGAACATATTTTGCCTAATTTGAAAGAAGTGTAATCAACAACTGCTTTTCAGTTAGCTTTATTCTTCAGTGACACAAGTGCTCTTCTTCAATGTCATTTTTGTACGAGCAGACGATATGGGAAAAGGGATCTCAGTGAGATTTTTGTGGACAGCTGTTGTTTACTGACCGGGTGGTGGTTCGTTGAAGTTTAGAATCATTTCTAATTCAAAACGGAAACTCGTAGTAAGGACAGGATATTTCCTGACCAGCAATGGAACTAGGTTTGTTTTGGGCAATAATTCATTCATAGGAGGATAGAATCAAAATACGTTTTCCTTAAAAACCGGTCTCTTTACGATCTAACTATATGACCCTCAAATCAAGCAGCAAGTCCGGTTGCTTCCTGCAGTACGACGCCACTGGGTTGCATTCCAAAACTGCCCAGTTGGTGTGATCCCCAAGTTAAGCAGTCAGTCTTAATTGCCAGCAAGAGGACCAGGCTCTCGTTTGGACTGTTTTCAATTTTCAAACCAAAACAGCCGTCTTCTCGAGTCATTACGATGTAGTACCTAGTGGTGGTAAAATAAGGTATCCGATGAACCCTTATTCGATTTGGCTTGGTTAGAATATTCTCATCCTTCATGACAGAGAATGGCTTAATTCTAAGAGTGAACAGCAAAAAATGAGGTTTATGACCCTCACTAGCAGCATTTTTTTAATTGTCACGCCTGATGACTTGGTCGCACGTACCTTAATGGAACTTTGGATCAATTCACATAACCTGGATAGATAAACTCATTTTATGAATCCAGTTGAACCTCACGTTTATACCGTGCTTGTACAGCTTACTGTGCTGCACTAAGCCGCCCCATTGTTCATTTGGTACGATACTAAAGATATCGCATCGGATTTCGCTCACGGAATATGCGGCTTCCAAAGCTGCAGAAAAAGGTCGCCACTGACGAGTTTTCCGCCAACTTCTGAGTTATGTTTTTAATCAAGAAATGTGCGATGAATAACGCTGTAGATGGTTCGATAAAGTGAACCTGTGCGGACCATATTGTGGTCCCATAAGCGGTCTCACCACGCTTAAACCATGTTCCCAGTGAAAAGAAGTCGAGCTTGAAGATTTTGGTTGGTTTCTCGAACGAACTGCAATTCCGAAAATATCAACGCTACACGAAACTGTGGACTGCACCCAGTCCCTTCCCCGTCCACCTTTATTCTTTTCTTCACAACGAGGCTTTCAAATAAATCATGGTTGTACGGCAGCGAAGCATCGGTGTTGAACACTGATGTCATGCTGTAGATGATGATGATGATGATGATGATGATGAACTAAAAGTACACCGTGGTGTCCACAATTGATAACGAAGAATGTGTGCTGCACGGTGTAGGTAACGTGCAATCCTAATAACGGGAAAATGAGTTTTAACTTTTGTCGTTTTCATGAAAGGCAATGCCCTGTTGTGCGCATCAAGGGCGAAAAGAGTTCTGGATATCGTTCCACTGGCTTCCCGCCATATTGGCGTCAGAGGTACTTTGGGAGTTAACACGTTGTACTTCAAGCTCTAAATGACTTATCCTTTTGTAACCTGTCACTTTGAAACCAGGCGTATTGTATTGTGCTAGCCTTCCTATTGACCACAATTAAAACTCTTCTGTTCACATATTTCTTCGACATTTTTCTGGTTTGAGTAGTTTGAGCCTTATTTTACTTTGAACACAAGAGAAACATGAAGCTCTCCTGTTATGTCGTAAACGGCGCTTGATGGAACGTGATCTCCGAAGTAGGTATCTTGTATGGTAATTGTTAAATTAAACATAGCGAAAACGTCTGTGTGGTCAGTTAAAACTTGTTCAGGATCTACCTCCTCTAGTATTTGACTTGGAAATAGCATAGTACATCAAAATTTTCGAAACGAACAATATGCTACTTACCTCAGACACCATTACTGGCCACCAAAATGGAGTTGGCCCCGTGCACGGTTTTGTCTTACAACTCGTCTTATCGGCCGGTCTAATGGAGTTGCATAGTGCTGGTCTGTTCGCATTCGCTTCCACCAAGCGTGTCATCGCATCCAGCGATGCGTCGAAAAATTCCAACTGACGCAGATCCTGTGGCTGCATGTCGTTCACTACGGGGTCCGTTTTAACATCTGTCCCGTTCGGGAATTGGCAGTAGACCGAGCGTGAACGTCGCCCCATCCCACAATCGACTGAACACTGTTCACCCAGGAAGAAGAGGTCAAGAAGGGTAGTAAACGTATGCACAGAGCAGAAATTCTATATATCTTTCTTGCGAGGATAGCTGTATGATTTTCAGTTTTTCCAGCTTGTTATGATCCCATGGCTACAGAAATATAGAAAGGTTAGACGACGCCTGATGTATCAGCCCAAATGGAAATCTCGGCTTACGATGGCTGAGGCATAAGAGAGTCGGCTACAAAATATTGAAGGAACCCATCAGTAAACTTGCGCACCGTCTAACGAAATCTACCGTGTTACCTAAAAACAATATTTACGGATAGAACGCCCACTTAACAAGATCGACGCAGCAAACGTTTTCTAGCTGGAACTTACGAAAATTGCCATAGGCATCAATTTTTTTAAGATCTCACTCAAAAGAATACTAAAATTCGCTTTCGCAGGCTTACTTATCTAATACAGATGCGATGGTTTCAACAAGCTTGTCACTGAAAAATTTACTTGTTTAATATGGAAGAAACGAAACGCAGATTACGGCTTGCGTGTTACCAAAAGTGCTCAGCTACAGCGCCCCCTCACAAAGCAGTCTTTCACACGCGATACAACACTACGGGACTCAAGGGATTTATACCACCACTCCCACTGAATAAAACTCCTACGAAAACACACAAAAATAGTATTATGTGGATCTTTTACTCAGAAATAATAAGTAGTGTTTTTCCAACGTACAGAAAAGTATAAGCAACCTCAGTAAATGGGGGTTACTCACAACCTGCTAGGCAATGAACGAGGTGAAAACATGCCGCTGACGGAGAGAAGCACCTGAGGATAAGAATAAACTAAAAAAAGACACTACCGGATTTAATCTAGTCACCATAACTGGGATAGAGGACCCGTCTCTTTCAACAACACGTACACTCATACTGAGTGGTCAGTTTCACTTTCTTTTGGCAGTTGGTTGACTAGTTATTTCGAGTGTGCCACAGTTAGTTAGCTTAAGGGGGTGGAAGTCATCTTCACTGCTTAGTTCGTTTAGCATGTAGATTCTTGAATGTTCCTCCTTGTGGCAGTTGGTTGAGTAGTTACTTTGAGCGTGCCACGGGTAGTTAGCTTAAGGGGGTTGAACGTATTTTCACTGCTCAGCTCTTGCAACATGTAGATTCTTGAATGTTCCCACCCACCAGCGTACGGCTTGGCTGAGTTTGTCAGATAGTGGTTAACTTCGTTTCAGTGGATGATAGGTCTACTCCTCACTTGCCTGTAATGGACGCATTCAAGCTTGAATGGTCTAATTGCATCATTACGTTCTCGCTTCATCTGGTAAAAAGTGCACTTTTTATTCAGTTACGGAAAGGCATCTACGTTGTTCTCACAAGTTACCATTGAAGAAATAGCCCGTTTGCGTGAATGAATGTTCCGAGCAAAATTCAGATGAGAATGCATGTGGTGTTCAAAGACAACGCTATACAGACTGGTCGGTTGGAGGTAAGCGAATAATCCTCATTTACAAACAAATTTGGTTTTGCGTGAGACTCATCTAGAACCCAGCTGAATCTGTCGTTTACGGCGTTTCTCAGCCTAACTGGTGAGGAAGGGTGAAACCCATCATGGGATGTAGAAGAACTTTCAGCAAACTTATGAGTAGTGTGTGGCATCTATACGTGTATCGTGATATCTTTAATATTGTACCAACTGAAACATGAGGTGGCCTGGTGCATCACATTCAGTTGCTTAGAAACAATCCTAGACGAGGGATTCAGCAGGGTTCCAGACGAGTCTCTCGCAAAACCAAATTTGTTTGCAAGTGAGTGTAGTTCGCTAATTTCTTGCAATTTGGATTCAAGTAGAACATACATTTGGCGAGAATTCGGGAACCACGCCTACCTTGTTGGGAGGTTGTTCACTTTTGATACATGACCTGGCCTCACGTATTACGGAATATTTCGTCCAGCTTAATGCATGTTTAGCTGTATGTCTTCCCTATCCATTGAAGGCTGGCTTCAAGGAGGTAACATGGACGGGAGTGTTCTGTGATAATTTACAGTAAACGGGGATTGGAATGACCCTAACAGGCATTGTTTATAAGGAGACAGGTTCTGTCGCATTCATGAAGGGTGAAAATCTGCCCTAGTTCTATTAAAAGTTGACGATTTATGGTGAAATTTACCCACTGCGTGCACAGGTTATTTACTTATTTCCGCTAGTAGTTTTTTCTATCATTTTCCACCTTTCCAACATTAAGTTAATAACGCTTGATCCTAGCTGACCGAACTTCGTATGCAAGTTTATTTTAATTTATTTTTACTGAGATGCTAACCTACCGAATTTGGATAATTTTTTAATCGCCATAAGGTGACTTGGTAAGTGAAGCTTAGCTCAAACATTTTTCCTGCTAGGTTGGCAGTTCACACTCGGTTACTGGTCTTTCAACTCTGCAGACAACTCTAGTCACTATCGTACAACCAAAACGGCATTCAGTTCAATAGTAAGGTGAGAAAATTGCGTACCGACGACCAGTCCCTCTTGTGCCAAAACGGACACCCTTGTGAAAGGAGACAGAGGCGTTTGGTTGCAGGTTTATTGTTGATCCCGTGGCAGCGCTCCGGATCAACCTCAATCAGCTGGACAGAGCGATGTTTGCGAATCCTCTGGGGATGTGCCGAATACACCGTGTATAGTAGGGATTGTGATCTCTCGTCCGCTGTGCTAGAGGACTGATCATCTTCCGGTTTAGTTGTGGTCACGTCCAGGACGCACCGAACCGTCCGACGTTGAATTCCATATTCACAGCTCCCCTCACACTAATTTTTTTCAGAGAAAATGGGAAAAAACAGGTAAGTACATAACCCAAGTACGTCTGAGTTAGAAACAAAAATCCCAAGTGAATTTAACTGTTCTGTCATCTGTTCATGACAGGAAGAGTTTGAAATGGGATACTGGAAATCGAACTGTCCTGAAAATTTCCCCTAAAAATCACATCCCCGGAAATCCTTGCGCTTGAAAATGAAAGCTAATTGTGCAGTTTGTTGGTCCATTTGTTCATTCATTGAAAATTTAGTTAGCTTATCTTCACTTACCTTCAATTTTCACCCAGGCAAATCAATTGTCCCTTCACCCAACTTTTAATTCACTGATTCGTATTTTGCCAGCCACGATTTTGTCGTGTTACGAGTCGATCAAAAACCAGAAAATCAATGGCAGATTCCAAAATGTTCATAGTTACAGACGGAAAAATATCTACCGTTAGGAATAAAACACCCAGGGTGTGATATACAACCAGCTGTTGAGGTAGTATGACCGGCTAATACGTGACTAGGCGCACAGATCTGCTGTGGAAAACCGCATGTTCATATTCATGAAGTAACTGAGACTAGCAGGCCATGTATGGAAATACGAACCACGTTGTGACTGACAAGTCAAAAAGTGACGAGTCTGATGTTCGAAATGGGTTGTCAGACACCCGAGAGGGTAGGCCGTGGATTTATTACAACATAGGCGCCTGTTTTCATACACCGGATGCCAGACATGGGGAAAAGAGAAAATTACCGCCAGTAAAACACCCAAGAACAAATCACGTAAGAAAAGATGTGATCCTCACCCTATGAACTCAGAAATATTCAAACTCCAACTATGTAAAAGTTTGCATCCTCATTGAATAATGTGGCTGCAGTAATTGATCACAGTTTTCATTTGTATTTACGGAGATTGATGTGCGTAACTAACCTGGCATACTGCGTTTCGCTAGTCCACCAGTTAAGGTTACAAAAGAAACTTACATTGAAAGTGTCAAGTGATTTGCTAACTTGAAATTTGGCGAAATGGAGGAGGAAGCTTATTGGGTTGTCTACGTTGTTGTAGGCGGGTGGTTGTACACACTGGTCAAAGCTAAAGCCACCCCGTCAGACTACTGAATACTTTTTGTATTTTCATAAATATTGTGCAAGAAATAAGCTTGTCACAGCTTTCAGTACGGTCTGAATACAATGTCTACATAACCGGTGGAACATCCGGTTGGATCCAGCATTACTTCTCAGTTTGTAGTGGTTCATGACCAATCCCTGGACATATTAACATGACACAGGTACGGAGTTTACGACCGTTCAGCTTTATGGTGGGTGGTCGAATTTATCTCGAGCCTACCAATTACCAACCTTCGCGAAGGAAGAACGAGCTAGGAATTCAACCATAAGTTATTTGTGGGAATGGAGCTGACACTCCAAAGAGCTGAGTCATGGGACGTTTTGAACCCCTACCCTGAGCTCAGAGACTGTTGGACTGCTTTTGTCGATCCTAGTTTAACGGCGGATACTACTGATGAGACACGATAGTCTGTCGTTTTCTCAAAATTCCGTCCCGCGTCCAATGGCAGGTGTAGTTTGTTGCGAAACTTATGGATAGATTTTGCAGTGTTCCTTTAAGGTTGCGTGAAAATCAATGAATGTCCGTGGAAGTTCAAGAAGATGAGTGAGAAGGTTCGGTTTTTTTTTAAAAAAAAACGACGTCGCAACGAACGGCTTTCCTCCTTATACTACTATGATATGCCGAATATGAATTGCGGTCTCCTGGAGAATACTTCTGCTCACGTTGCTTAGCAAGATTGTAACGACTGTCAAGAAGTATCTGCTCACATACAGGCCAATAGCTGCTTATTGTGTATTTGACAACACGACATTCCAGCCCATACAATTTTCAAGGGTGTTGTGAGGTGATTTGAAAATTTTTAGTTGAAATTTCGTCTCGTACGTTAAGCCATTCTATGCTAAAAAGCCAAGTAAGAGTGTGTCAGCTTTACTGGAAACTGTCTGCAATATCCATCTAATGAAACCCCATGAAGTCTTATACCCGGGGCCTCCCAGCTGGTTGTTTGAACACTTAACTATTCGGCGACGAACGACTGATCAGAAATACGAATAGCCTATATAAGTTTTGCTACACCTACCTACTGTACACCCACGTACACCTACGTACCGTAAAGGTAGAATGTTTGTATCTAAATACGTCGTGGGTGCAATATATACCATACACTTACCTGACCCCATGCATCGGGCAACCATTGTGGACAAGGTCCGGCATCACAAGCCTCCACTTCCACTGGTTTTGCCAACTTCGCATCCAGACACCGTTGTGGGTCGGTCATTTCGGCGTTCATCCGACTCATTGTGGGAATGCTGGTCTCGCGTGGGTGCGATCCGAGCGAGTTGGCTTGTTGTTCGTGAATTTCTAACAAGCAAACTGCCTGCCGCCTGCGTACACCAGTTCCACATGAGACAGAACACTTAAAACAGATAAGAGTTAGGTAGGCACACATAAATGTCCGCCAAAATTCTGTGCTGTCATAACACCTACAAAAATTCCTTCAAACAAACCGATGGCTACCAACCATATTATCGAGCACTGAAAATCAGGAAAGCTTTCTTCTACGTTTTACTCGTGGAATCCAGTCACCGGTTTGGGAGATTTTACACTCGAAGCACGCTGGACAATCAAGAAGAGGGGTAAAGCCACAATAAAGGTTCCATCGGCTATCAATATTGGGAAATGCCACTGTGTCAGAGTGAAGCTCTGTAACAACCCCAAATACCTCAAAGAAATTTCAAAGACCAGTGCTAATGAATGCCACAACATGTCAAATTGTCATCAAAATAGTTCTGTCGTTAAATTAGACTTATGGATTGTCTTTGCCTCCCTCTAAATTTTGGGCTGTAACAAGTTCAATCGGTCATTCCTCTCATTGCATGTTTCTCCTCTGAATTTTTCAGGTAGCAAATTATACTTGAAGCATATTTTGACAGGAGATATGAAGCGCGGTCTTCAAAGAGAAAGCTATCACGTTTTTATGTATGTATTTACTAAGTAAGTAGTAGTAAGTAGTAAGTACTAAGTAAGTAGTAGTAAGAAAGTAGGGCTAAGCTGGAGGTCTCTCTGCGTAAAATCCAATTCTAAAATAACAACGGCAATTTAACACTCACTTGACCCCATGAGGTAGTATGCCACGCAGGAATGCTCATTGTGCATGGTCTTTGAACACATTCCAGTTGTAGGGGTTTGTCCAGGCTCACAATTTTCACTTCCAAGGCCGTGCGATCGTGATTGGGTCTTTCCAACGTCTCGACATGAACTGAACGATTATCCGCAGACAGGAACAATCGTGGGGTGTAGCCAAGGTGATTATGACATTCCTCAATGCTGACGTCTGTGATTCGGTAAGATGGTACATAGCTGTCAAACTGCTCAACGGACGGTGAGCGTAAGTCTAAGGCAATGCGTTCACAGGGTACGTTGACGGTCTGGACGCCCACGCCACAGCTCACAGAACACTGTCATGGATTTTAAAGAAACTGTTCTTGACATCATCATCACAGGAGATAAGACAAAGTGAACCATAATTTGATAAACCATTCTAAGAGATCTGAAGTGACACATCAATTTCATCATCGGAACCAACCTTAGGCAACAATTCACTTGAGTAGCTATTACGTGACGTAGTTATTTGTTTCCCTATTCCTCAGGCTAATTCATCACCCTTCCGGTGACTGCTCAAGTTTTAAAACTGAACTGTTCTATTTTACACAAAGTTGACTCTACCTCAACCGTTTTTCTGTGGACGACTTGTTTACATTTATTTCTGGGCTTGTTGTTGAAAATTTGTCCCACTTTGTACTGAACAACATTTTTCCCGTTTAGTTTGTCCGATAGCACACTGCCCTTCGTGTGCCATCCTGTGTCGCTAACTGTCCAAGGTTCAATCTAGCCGTAAGCCTTTCTTAAATTTTTCTCACGATTTACTGTTAATTTCCTATAGAAACACGGTCTACCTATCCATACTCTCTGCCCAAGTACGATTCAATCTATTTTTCACTGCCCAGTAGCGATTACTGAAGAAACGCAGGTGAAGTTCGTAGGATTCGGCTTCGCCGCCGTTTGTTGGTGAATTAGACCACACGCTACTTGTCAGATAGGACTCATTTTTTCTGCATTCAGCGGAGTGTATCATAGGCTAAATTTTAGTGAATTCTGACTCCATTGTTGGACCTTTAACTATGCTTCCGATAAACCTTTTTCAGACTAAGGTGAAATACCATGGACTGATTTTCAGTTGATCAATCTTGTGTTCCGGTATTTGTCTTAGCTTCCTTGAATACTCAGCTTGCAGTCGCCCAGTTTTACTGGGTGCTAACGTCGGGATTTGACCATTGAACGAAAAAAGTTTCTTTCCTGACGGTCTACTTACATTTGGTAAGTAGTAAAACGCTTCGAAGTTGCCCCACTTGGCTTTCCGGTGAAATGCTAAATCAACCTGAGTTGAAAAACTGGGAGGTCTGATAAAGCTGATCTACCATTTTAGCTAACTGTCGCAAGGGACAGTTACCCAGAGAAGTAGTTATAACCTACGATCTAAAAAAGCCGAGTGAAGAAGCTGGCCTCACGTCTGAGGAAAATAAACTCGTTTGGTTAAATGGTGGAAAGTGGTCTACATGAGGGTCTGGCTTGTATCAGGATGTTGCCATTGGTTTTATTTTGTGTAAAACAAAATATATTTATTTGACAGGCAAATCAATGGGCACGACAGCAATGTAGTTTTGTGGGGGATAAAAACAACCTGCAAGTTTTCAGAGCACCTCAATCTAATTCAGAAAAAATATTTCAACGATCACCGAAAGTTCTGACATCTGGACAACTTCTCTTAACATTTTCTCAAAAATTGTCCAGAGTTGAACTCTTCAAATGGGCTACGGAAGTCTAGTAATAATACAGGATAAGGGAGCACGTTTGATTGTGTTCCTTACAAGACCAGACAGTTTATGCTCCTGCCACGTCGGTTTTGCTCGTCGACCATAAAACATCGAAACCGATGTTCTAAGACTGTGGTTACCTCGGTAAACCCCTTTGGCTTAAACAATACCCCTTTTTAACAGGTATACCTGTGGAGTGAATTCAGCTCGGCGAGACAGGACTAAGCATATAACTAATTCAAATGACTACACGTATCGGTAGTTCTTTTTACAAGCATAGCATTTTGCCGAAACATAAACATGCAAGTTCTTCGGGAGCTTCCTGATAAACAGGGAGCATTGCTGATCAACCCGAGATGTCAAAATTCTGGCAATCGCTGATCAACGACGGAAGCTGTGCAGGGGGACGTTCTAATAAATTGCATGGAAAGTAGCAACGTCAGTAAACCAATCAGCAAAACAAAAATATAAAATTATGTACTAAATTCTGCATGTGTGCCTCATTCCTACTATGCAAGTAAATAGGTGTGTTAACGGAGTATTTGCCGGACACGTATTGAGCAGCTAGGCCAGAGACACCTTCAAGTCAATATCTATGCGGTTCTTCTCGAGTTTCGCTCACACTTTTGCGGTGCTACACCTCTTGTGTGCTTATATGTATGGACAGAGTTATAAGCTATTCTTTGATGCCCCTTAACTCATGAAAACAGTCAAAGGCATATTATATACCTCGTTGAATTTTGCCTCACCCCACCGGAAGCAGATGGGCTGTTCACAAGATTCACGGCTTGTGGGCTCTTCGCTCAAGCCAGATTTTATATGGAATTTTCGACAGAAGTCTGACCTCATCTTCCATGGTGGACCGTGTTCTTGTTCCAAAAACGGGCGCAATGAAGAATGCAGTGTGGGTACATTGAGTTGACAGAACAAGTGTCGGCTTCTTATTCCAGTAAGTTGAGTTGTTCTGCTCATTCTGTGCACATCGCTGGAGTCAATAGTACGACATAGTTTATGCATTTCTTCTGTTATGAGTTCACAATCAGACCACTGAGAAGCGAGCCACTGGATATCGTTCTGACAGGCAGCCAATGAGATACACGCCTCGGATTGCTCAAGTGACATCTGCCTTCCCACGTGACTGTTCAGGCGCCCTCCAACAATGTGATCGGACAGTATGCCACGAGCGTCCTGACTGGAAATGGCTCCACTGGGTGCTGAACCTGCCCCTTCCGGATCTTTCTCAGCAAAACATTCCTCCAGAGGCCATCGGGTACCTGAGAACTCCTGGCAATATAGCTGGCGTACGCGCTGACCAATGGCGCAGTTCGCTGAACACTGGAAAATAACGTGTTAACAGGATTTATAGTCATTTATGGATGCTAGTAAATAGATAGAATATAGTTAAGTAGATGGTCAGCAACCATCACGGACGTATGAATGTGGCATCAATTTCAGATAAAAAAAGCGTCTCTCACACGTGGTCCGAGCTTAGATTTAAAACTAAATGCAATCCACAAGATCGCCCTTATTCAACTTGCGTCGAAGAAGCTGAAATCCTTCAAAACAACTTTTCACCAGCCTGTCAATTGGAACACTAGTATGTATGTGTACCACTACCCTTCTTACGATCCACATGGTTAAAACCACCCTCCCCGCACGCTTGTCGAGATACTACGTAAACGGGTTTCCGGACAACCTGAAAGAACCATATGCTTATTCAATCACTGGCAGAATGAGTCATCGACATTGCTCGGAGGGAGAACCAGTACCCAGGGAAGGGGGCATGATTGGCTTCACACACACGCAGTTGGTGAGCCTTTTTTTACCAAATAGTTAGCATAGTTAGTTTTTTGTCTACCCTGGAAAATGGACCAGACTAATGTGGATTGACTGGTGAAACTTTCCTTTCTATGAATTCATCTTCCAGCGAATTACTACCACTCTCTGGTGGAAGGCGGATCCTAATTGCGACACAAGGTTTCTATCACAGGGAGACGGCTCCATAAACTGTATCATAGCGAAACTCACTGTCGGATACCCAAAGACGAACAACTGCTTACTTGTAGCTGTTTTACCGGAATGGGTATCCCCCTCCCTGGCAGTTGGTAAATACATACCATGGTCATATTGTGTACAGCAATGTACGGATTACCACCACTGACGAACTGGAGTGTTTTTCATCATTATGCAGAGTGAAATTGACGATTTTGATCTTTCAACTTGTTGGCTACAATGATACAGTCTGCTATGCGTGAATTCATTTTATACATACCAATCTGTCCATACATGAATGAAAACAGGCAGTCGTTTGATTGCGAATTGAAATTTCGTCCTTCAGCGAAGTTACTGCATGCTAAAAAGTTGAAAGGCGCTTTACAGGTATTTCATCATCACTTGGATTCATCAGCAATGCATATCTTAAACAAATTTAAGAAGTTTTAAAGCCAAGACAACCCGCCTAACATTTTGAAAATGTCAATGTTCGTCTACAATAGACTGATTTAGCGCCGCCCGCCCCCAATCACAGAATGTGGTCTCATATTGACCGGCTCGTCGACTGATTAATTCTCAGGTGGAAGTTTTGCACGTCTCTTGAAATTGATTTCACTCTGTGCCGCATCTTTCTGAGAAGTTTCCACCTGAAAAGTCATCACTCGGAAAGCCAATCAACACGTGACCGCTTGGTATGAATTAGGTGATGGAAGCATCAATGGCGCTAGATAACATCTGTCTGTGAATTAATCACACAGATGATCAGTCACTTGTCGGCTGAGGGTTGAATGTTCAAAGTACCATCCGGGACGTTGCATGATCGAAACTCCCTAAAGTTTGATCAGATGCTTGCTGGTGCTGGTTACCTGTTAAGATGAAATTGTACAATGCCTCTCGACTTTTCAACGTAGACTATCTTGAACTACAAGGGGAAACCCTATTCGAAAAACACCAGATCCCCTCACACTGTCAGCTCCTTTTAATCGATTTCCAGATGACGGACAAATCAGTCGTTTGGCTCAAGTAATTTTCGTGGCATAAATATCATGCATACAGCTTAGCTCATTTGATTGGACAATAAAACACTCTGCATTCAAAAAAATTTTGGACAGTCTAGCGCTCGTCTCACAAAAACCTGAACCTTTTATCTGAGTGGTAACGCATTCGGATATATGGGTTCAGGATGCAGGCGATGGTGCTGTGTTCTAGTACATTCTAATCAACTACTCAAAAATTCTCACCTCTGTCCAGTTTGATGTGACCCAAAACACAGGATTGCATGTGCCTTGGCAGGAGAGCATTGCGGGTTGTGTTGGTGCATTGCCTAGTCCTGCTCGAATACATGCTCGTTCCCCAAGCTGGGCTGGCCTCCATACACCCCGAGATTTGTCTTCTTGTTCGGCTGGGACTACCAGTTCCTCGCACACATAGGCAGCCATTTGTTGTCCTTCCCCGCAGCGTACCGAACAAGTTTGCTGGATTTGACCGTTGACAGTCGTTTCTAGTGGCTTAGTCACCCACCGTACACCACAATAGTCAATACAACGACGTGTAACTGGCGGCGGTCGGGGCATGGATGAGCACAAATAGTCAGCAACTGGACGATAAAAGGTTTGCTCGGAAAACTCCGTTCTGGTTTCAGCATCATGAATAAGTGGATAGCATTCAGCATGTGACGTTGAATTCCCTGTATCGATATGGATGTTGGGTTTTAATAAACAGAGTTTGAGAGTTGGTGAGATAAAAGTTCTTACAAAAAGGACCTTGGGAAACCAATGAAAAAAGACGGAGTAGGTTCAAGTGTAACTGTTGAATCTGGTAGGCACGTAAACCATTTCGCAATTGATCTAATTGTGAATGAGTTTAGTGTGATAAACTGTACATAAGTTCCAGCAACCTGTATTGGTGATGATGAGATTCTAAGGGCTTGTTTGAACTCTGTTTTGATCAATTGGACTAGTTAGAGACAAAGAGCCCTGGTTCTGTCACTTGCTCAGTCGCACATTGTTCAGCTTCGGTATCACTTTCTCGAGCTTCCAGGCCATTGAGCTAGAAGAGGTCATGGATTGTTGGAACCCGGGGTACAGTGAATCATTCCCTAAAAATGTCGATCCATTTATCCTGGTAAAAATGATTTTGTAATGACAACTGAAACACCTAAAACTGTTATGCATAACACTTGACAGTGGGATAGGGTAGTTTCAGGTTCACTTTTTCAACCAACTGGAGTGGTTTGATCAAGCCGGTAAACTTTTATACAGGCAAAAGTACTTCTGATAGGTTAGACTGGTGTTCTGGGACGTTTTTTTACCTTTTTTAAGTACTACTCACTCTTCAGCTGTGCATCCGCTCTGATTGGGGCAGTGTTTATTCTGCTTCAAAAGTATTTCTCAGTAGTCCACACTAAAGCAAAGAAAGCTCTGGACGGGGATTTTAAGTTAAAGGAGTTCGTCAGCCCCTCACATCTTCATTTATGTTGGAACTCAAGCCTGACACACATCAGACTTGCGGGACGAGCATGCCGCACCAATTCACCAGTACGCATTGAGTCTACTTGGGTTATCGAAATCCTAACGAAAAAATTCGTACTACTCTTGGACGTTCACAAAATGAATCCAATAATTTTTGGGCAGTAGAAGACCGGAAAAGCTTTAGCTATCGATAGATTAATTGCTTTTGACTTTTTCCAACATTTATGCCCTTACTTTCGGGACCTTGATGTTTTATCGGGGGATACGTGGAGGTTTCTTGAAGATGAATTCGTCTGAAATTGGTTCAGAATTCACAAGCAATAAGCAGCAGATAGCACCGCGCCGCTTATAGTGCTTATACCATCTGACATAATCCTTAATCAGTAAAAGACATTAGTTTGCCTGCTATCATTGGATCATTTTCTCTTATTCTAAAACTAAAAACGACACCAAATTAGGACCAAAGACGACGAGCTAAGAATTGGAAACCATAAAAAGAAATCTGGCTCTCTTTTGGGTTGCTGAAAACCTTACAAACACCTTAACAGGACTACCGTATCCCTTTTGTATTGGCGGAAAGGCATAGTAGATATACATGAATCTCTCGCGTGCTCTGGTTCGGACGAAGATGGCACAAACAACGTATGCGCACACAAGGGCTCCAACTTCCTACACCTACAGCATCAGTCACCTACCTCGAGGGGAGTTTATTATCTGACCACTGATGTTAATCAGGGGACAACACTGAGGCTCATCGGGTATAAAATGTCAGACACCTTACTTTAAGAATGACAAGTTCAGACTATTACTCAGCGAACCTGAGTCCATCTATCAGGTTGTGAAGTCGATATATTCCAATCAGGTTCACAAAAGCTGACTCGAACCAGATGTTGACTTATTCAGCCTACTTGTGAAATGAATGGGAACTGCTCTTTGAAGTCACAAGTGACTTTCTATCCAGGCGTCTTCTTCGCATTCGGCTAGTGAGGCATGCTCACTGTGCACTCGAAGTACTTTAGAGGAATGGGGGAGTGGACACTTCCTCATGGTTAAGATGGGGTGGTTACATACACATTGTACGGGCGATCTAGACTTTGCATCAGCAAGATCAATTAACACGCTTGTTCTGTTTGAGAGCATTCAGATCGGTGCTGGATTGACGCTCGAGTTGTTTAAGTTCCGTGTTTTTTTAACGTGAACCTCTAGCTAACTGCTTGTGTTTCACGATCCGAACTTGGAATCGTCTGACTATTTGTCGTATTTCGCATCATCTCTTTCTAGACAACTCCTGTGATGCGGTCGATTAATGGGACAATTCGTTGTTTTCGGTAGCAATTCAAAAGAATGTATTAGTTCCACGATATTCCAAGGTATTTAGGATTGTATCAGAAGGACCAGATCCACAAGCTGCGCAACCCTCAGGTTTTGAGTACCAATTTTATTCCAATTTCAGGCACCAGTTTTCTTGAAGCTCTCTAGCCAGACTCGACAATGCCCTTTTCTTTTCGGTGCCGTTCTAATCCATACCTACAAACGATCGTACGTTTACCGCAGTTCGAAGGTGATCAGTTGCGTATATAAGTACCTATCGATATAGCGTGCTGCGGGATAACAGTAGGTGGCGGACCAATGAAATTACGCTTTTTTGTCAATTTCGTCATCCTGAGAAGGATTCTTGATGGTGACCTAAAAAGATGTCATAAATATCGTGAATATATCACAGCAAGTGCATGGATAGATGTGTACGACGTAAAGACTACGCGGCACTGATCAATCAGTAGTAACGACTGAATATTATACTTTTGAAGAAGGTATTAGAAGGACAATTTTCAACACCTGTTGCAATGTTCTTTGTAGTCAAGTACATCCTCTGCAACAGACAATCACAGACAATCAACCACTAAAAATAGAAAACAGAAACGACAGGTTGTCCTGGTTTTGAATTTCAGTGCTCGATGGTTGAAAATTAAAACTGAGTAGATTTGCCGTCGCCGAGGTAAGCAAGAGTTTCCACAAAATCGAACTAGTAGTTAGCACGGTCTGTAGTACGGTCTGTTGGTCGGGATTCAAAAACTTTGAGTGACTATGTGTGTTACAGAAGCTATAGTTCAGAAATAGTGCAACAGATGTTCCCGCTTTGTTTATCTTAGTAATTCTCAAAATTCTCCGGGTCTTTCAGGATCTAATGCAAGTATCACCTGTAACAATTGACCTAGTTACCATTTGCTTCACATTAGGAAATATGGAGTCGAAATTTTGAATTACTGGTTCCTAGAAACTCATTTTAAAACGCGCTTACATTGATGAACAAATGCAAGGTACACGCGTTTTTTTTAAAAAAAAGCCCCATTTTTTAGTCACTGAGTTTATTCATTTCGACTAGGGTATACTTCTCATGTGGTTTCCGTCTTGGTGTTAGCGTACCTGTGAAAAGCGTGATTTGGTTGATGCCTCATCGTTTGTGTTATACCTTGGGTGGAATGTGCTCGTACGAAGCCCCTTTAGTGCTGAGATTGTTGTATTGTATTTGGACGAACGAGTTCTCGCCGGAGATAACTGGTGCTTCAAACGGCCAATGCCTTTTCTGTCCAAGCCTCATGCGCGAGCTCTTTCTTCAGATACAAGCATATCAAATCGTTAGCCGAATATTCCAGGCTGGGACTCCGGTTAACGTGAACCATTGGGGCTCGACAGAACTACTGAATTAATTGGATTAATAATGACTTCTCCTGATCAAACTGTTTGAGAACACGACCAGCTGAGTTTAGAATTCTTAGATTTGTAACTCATTCAGCATTTTCCATGTGGGTTCAAGAGACAAAAAGTAAAACGGAAAATTGTTTTCTCCAAAAAACAGCCGATTACTCATTCAAAGAGAATGCTTCTTGTTCCCGTTTGATCTATGGGATTGTCTATAGAATTGTCAGCATACCTGTGGTACTCACGTTCACCTGTTCAAAACATACCCCACTCTCTGATAATTAACGAATAAACGAAGTATACTACTAATAAGATTGCTGAAAACCCTTGGACAGCCCACGACCGCTTCGTCCGCTTTCATTGGAACCTATCAGAAAAGCGCAGTTTTCGAGTTTTCGCCAACCTTATGTGCTAATTGAACCCAAATTGGACGAGATGTGCAAAATGCCATTTTTTTTTACATATTTATTTGATTTTAATGTGAGACTCAAATAAGTCTCTCGTTTATAATGTAAGTACTTTATCGGTTTGGGAATAGCAGCACAAAGGAGAAATTTACATGAATTCGTTGGGGTTTTCCGTCAAAAAAGAAATTGTGAGCAAATGAGAGTAGTTCACATCGTTAAATAATGCTCGAAAGGTGTATCCTAAAATTGGCTGTTGAACTCCGCTGACAAACACTTTGTCGTTATAGGTGCATTCAAAACAACCCCCTGTGTATCTAGAATATAGACCTACTGGGCTCTGTTGCAAGTTTGTGGATCGATTCAGTGGGAACTCGTGCAGCCTTATCAAAATCAAGTTCCCAGACTAATAAGTACTTAGAGATTTTACTGTGGATGAATGAATTCTTAGCCCGCCAGTCGACAGGACACCAACAAATTGCGGTTTGAAAATTTCCGTGGCTTACAGAACGCCCACATCCGAATCCGGTCTTCAACTATATAGGTAGCGATAAAATCCCAGTATGGAACTTCGTGTTCAAGTAACGCTCAGAATCGTCATTAAATGCATTTCTGTAGTACGTGTAGAAAGTCGGCATGGGACCATTTGCAGTTGCTTCAGGAACGCTGCCTTCTGCTGCAAACTCTCTTGGGATGACCAGTCAGTAAGATCCTTCGACTTGACTTGTCAAGGGTGCAACTATTAGCTATTCCAAAAGTAGTATATACCGGCGCACTGTTCTGCTAAGCACGTAGTAGCTCGAATTACAGAACAATTAAGGATTATTAATTTGGTGACATTTGATTTCAGGTTAATTGGCTAAGTATTTTAACACCATCTTGAATTCTAATTCTTCTTTCTAAGGTCATGAGGATTACCCCAGCTTTTCTCTCGACGCACATTTCCACCTGCAGGTGTAATGGACCGTACCACTGGAAAGGTCATACATACTCTGGTATTTGGTGGACTGTGAGCGAATGTGTGGGGTGCGTTGTGCCAATAAATGTCAACAATCTTGCTTGTTTACCGTTGAAAAATTACACCACAACAACGCTAATAGGCAAATGCTTTCGTTTTCTCAGTACAGGTCGATCTGGACGAGGATGACTCATTGAATGGAACGCCTTCAGAACCCCGTAGTAATGGGCTGGATGGAAGCGCAGTATGTTGTATTCTAATCAAGCTGTTTGGAATGGCTAAAATAGCGTGTGATGGTAAAGAGGCGAGATTTGTTTATTGGGGCTTGTGAAATGCAATATTACTTCGCAAATGCAAACGTATGTAAGTGATCCCGGTTACTACCTGTGTGTGGTGGCAAATTTTTAGGCTAAAAACATTAGGGCTTAACACAAGTTCTGGGCGAATCAGCGATAATACAAAAACGTTTGAATAGAAAAAATACCCTAGTGACGCCAGTAGTGTTCATCGGCTGAGCTGTCCAAATTAAATTTCAAAAACGCATAGTCACAGAGAAAATGCAACTGCATGAATTTTGTGATTACGCGTGTTTCGTGGTACCTCAGTCATTTCAAAATCCCTTGAACCTGTTGAGAAATATATTGCAGGCGCATAAATAGACTCTGATCCTCAAACTTTCTGCCCTCATTAAGTAACTGATCAAATTTAACCATCCAGGGCTTGGTGACTTCAGACAAGAGAATTAAACGGTGGAAAGTTTTCAGAAAAGTTCGGAAACCAATCGGTGGAGGTTTAAACTTTTCTAAAACGATAGCATATTGGTCGCTCCTAGCTTTTTTCACTTGACGACAGAAACATGGAAAGCACTCAGAAAGGTGTGTAAGAATTTTTTTCACCAGTGAGCATTACTAAGCGGAATTGATCTCTTTTGCCGTCCAAGGGAGGTTTCGTATATACTGTTTAATCCACCTGATAGAAGCCTTTTTCAATCGGCTACAATTAATTTAGGATGAAGGACTGAAATATATTTTCCAGCCGTTTTATTATGATTGGCAGACATTGTCAATGCACATATTAGAGACATTCAATAATTCCTGAGCCCGGAGCACCATCGGTAACGAGTTGCTGAAAATAGGTGCAACACATTTACACTTCGACAGGCAATACCGCTGTTATCCTTCAATAGGGAGTTCCGCGTCCCAAGAACAAATTTAGAGCGGCTCTCTAAAAAACGGTTTCCCGAACGGGAAACCGACAAATACATATACCTTGTACATAGAAAGGGAGATCTTCAATTCCTGGTGAGTATTCCGAATGCAGAGAAGAAGCATACTATAGCTGCTTCATGCCTGTTCTTAATCATCATCAATACACACCTTTAGGATTTCCAGTTGAACATTTTCTCCTTGGTCTTCCAACTTGGACCGAATTAATTTGCTTGGTGAAATATATACCAGAACTCTTTGTTAACTTAATAGAAGTGATAACCACAGCGTTCGAAGATTCATTATGACTGGGTAACGAAGGTTCGAACCGGGGTCACAACAAACTTTGTATAAGTTTGGATGATCTTGGAATTTAGCCAGTGGGACTACATGGTATATTCACAAGGAAGATTTAGTTACCTAGTTGATTAAATCTGTGCTGATTTGGAACGTAGAAAGAAAGAAGAGAGTCTGTTGTGAACGCGCTTTCTGTCATCAATGGCGACTTGTTAGGATAGGCTTCAAGAAAAAAAACAGGTGTGCTAATTTGGAGACAGCACAAAATGTATACCCTTACATGAACAATTGAGATATGTAGAAAATTACCGTGATCTAACTGGCTCTGATTCCAAATAGTGCCTTTTAACGGTCTTGTTATCTAGTTTGTGTGCATACTACTTGTTGACAAGGTTTGTGTGGAGTATACGCCGAGGATAAGCTTATAGATAAAAAATGGGTTTCAGTGTGCGATCCTGGTGTACCATGGTTCTGAGTAACTTATCAAAATACAAATAATAGTTATTATGGGTTCTAACGGCAGAACGCTGGATTTTAAGGACTGATTGGCAATTATAATCTATCTGGTGGGGTATATGGTTGTTGGCAGGCGCGTTTTTTGATGTCCCAATCGGGCCGGATCATTCTGTTTTGCGGTCCGTTTGAGCAAAACAAATTCAAATTAGAGGAAAAGCACTTTTGGCATAAAAATATCGTTTAGAATAGGGAGCAATGGAGATAATCTTCTTTGGCTGTCTCACTCGCAAATATAGTTAGGAAATGACAGTCCTGAAATGATATCAAAGACGGAATTATACAACATATTGTTAAGTTCAATGCGGAGAACCGGCGAGGATTTTATTCCACCTTCTACAAACTTGTTCACACTATCCAGGCAGAAAAAAGACCTATTCAGGGGGTAATCCAGGGAATAGTCTTGGATTAATTTGATTGTGCAAGTCACCATACAGAATCTGATACAGATGCGTAAGGTCCAGATGTTAATCGAACCCCGGGGTTCTGAATTTCTCCAGCGATTGGAGAAATGCGCACTGCTGGTAAATCCGGACTGGAACTATTCAAGCCTTCAGGGGTGCAAAATACAAACTGACTTTACTTCCAACATAAAATCTCAAACAAAACTTAAATATGTTCTTCTAAATTACAAAGAGATTTCCAGAGTTTGATCCCGACCAGTTCTGGGTGCATCTGTTAATTTAGTTACAAACGTATTGTAAGTATGAAGACACACTCACCAGCGCATGTGGTGCAACCGGTTGGAAGTTCACTGATCCGCCAAACGAAATGAATTCTTGGACGTTTATCAAACTCTGCCTGGCGTTCTCCTTCCACCCTCCCGGAAGTCTGCGCCGCTGAACTTGCCTGGATTGGAATTTCAGGCTCAGGCTGTTGTGTCGCATGCGATCGACCAGATCGAATACTTGCCCGTTCGGCCGCATGACGGGCTTCCTCTTCGGCAATGAAGAACAATGGATTGTGTTCTTGAGATTTATCCACATAGTAATGGTATTCGATTGTTGGTAATGGGCGTGACGTTTGAGGGTTCTCAACTCGCACCTGGGAAAGATTTGGTTAGAAGAGGTGTAATAATCAGGAGTTTTCCCTTGACCTTGGACGGATTTGTAAAACACACTTGAGCAAGACTGGATTCAAGTCTTATTCACCCCAGGATGATGGTGTTGAATTTACCGCTTATGGGAGGGTCCAGTCATTTATCAAGAAATTGTGCAAGTATTATTCAGTCGGAAAGACCCGAAAAGTGAGTATTACTGGGTCTCCGGAACTTTATATGGGTGATATTGCCCCCGTACCGTATTTTTTGTGAAATTTCCCATCACTATTTTAATCCATTGCTTTAGGCGGTTTTCTGATGAGGATGCATATTCTTCCTTTCGGCTGTATGGGCCGAAGCATCGAAATTTGTTCATTCTCCCGAAATCCAGTTTTAACACATTTGGGGTATGTAGATTCCTAACTTACGTCAGAATTGTTGTCCACAGTTGCTGCATCGTAAGGACGCAATATAGATTGGGCCTGTTCAATTTAACATGTAATGGGCTCGGAATGTCATTTTTCAGTGGTCTCAAGTGTCCGTAAATGATATAACTGCAGTGTAATCAAATATTCTATAAACACCAGATAAATTATTCAAAAAGTCCAATGATAATAAGTAAACAAGTCCCACTGATCCCTACTCAAGATTGAATTGCAGCAGACGGACGGGGAGTAGGTAAGTAAGTATTCCGAGAAGGAACAAGTAACTAGTGTAAGTGCGTGTGGTCAATTAACTTCCACAGTTTATTTTGCTTTGATTACTTGTCGTCAGAATCAATTTTTTTGTTACCAGGCGCCTAGAAGCGAGTCATCTTAAGGGTGGTAATAATGTTCTTGTTCAGAACTCTTCCCTATGGAAGGAATGGATCGTTGACACCGTGGGTTTGTGCAGAATACCCGGAATCCAAGTTTGTGACGCAACTAGATATCGTAGAGCACATTTGGCATCTCTCATCTGGAACATTTACGCAGACTTTAACACGTTTTGGTAGAGGATTGCTTCTGCACTTCAATTAACTCGTCAAAATCCTCTTCTTCCAGAATCGGATCGAGATCACAACTGTGTGGATATTTAATTGTTCATGATATTTAAGTATTTATTCATTTATTCATTTATCTTTAGTTGAATTCTGAGAGGCGCAATTTTTCCGCTGCTGTTTGGGTTTAAAACACAGTGATGTCCAGTTCTGTCCAATAAATATTCGAGGTCTTCGTAAACTCTCGAATATTTATGCCTTCTTACAACAAGCTGAGATCGATTCGGGTTTATATTGTACTTCTTGAATTATACTGATTGAATGCTGCTTCTACGCAATAGGTGGAAAGACAGAAATGCGGTTGGATAGCAAATAAAAATTATTTACATATCGTCCGGGTGAATTATCGAGGATCTAAAAAGAATATCTGCTTTTATGGACGTGATACACTACTCATAAGGTTGCTGAAAACTCTTCGACATCCAAGACCGGTTTCACCCTTCTGGAGGCTCATGAGGTATGCAAAGTCCCCGAGTTTCCGTCTGCTTTATGTCCCACTTGAAACCATTGTGTAAAAAATTTGGGACATCTATTTTATAATTACAGATAACAAATCTGCCAAATTGAATTGTTTTTTACACATAAAAATGTTCGGAAAAAGCAGAATTTTTTCATGAACATAGAAAATTTTTTACTTTTTTGATTTTATGGCATCATAGGTTGTCCCTGCATTATAAAATCCTTCCGAAGAGACTATTTCCCGTTTCCATACTTTTTAGCAAATCGTCTGCCTGTGACTCCGGAATGTGCCTTAAACTTGAAGCAGAACTATTCGAGAAATTCACCTTTCATGGTCAGAAATTTACCACCGGGACATAGGAACGGAAATCAGGGCCTTTTAGACCCTGATCACAAATATATTGTTCAACCGATATATTTCCCCTGTATAACTGGATGAAACCAAAATTGCAAACAGAGAGCCAACTGCTCAGATGGCTTTAAGAACGGGTTCTCAACATTTTCTTTAACTACTTGTAGGTAGATTCAGATAGTTTCCTGGAATTCACTTCACATCGTGCTCGTTTGAAAAAGTCTCACAAACATCTATAACCAATCAAGAAATTGCTCAGCAGATTTCAGGCGTCTGTGGCGCAACCTGACTGGGAAGTCCTGTCAGGCGGGGCCATCGATCGATACAAATGGGACAGACACCGCATCGTTGTTCGAGACCTCTGGTAAAGCAATCTCATCGCTCAAATGTGCACGCGTTCGCCTGTTCGGACTTAATTTGGATACGCTTAGTGCGCACTGGTTCAATGCTAACATACTCGCCTCGCATATCAGTTCAAATCCCAGCACCGCCAAAAACAAGCACCGCTGATGAGTTCTAATAAGAACTCAGCTCGTGTCCGGTGCTTTCGGACAAGTTGACGGCTGTTCAAACAGGAGTAAAATGGATGAGTTTCTCTTGAACTAAAACATGCACTTACAGCGAGTAGCTAATGCATTTGTGAAGAGGAATCATAGATACTTGGGAATGGGTTGGGTGCCCTAGATCAGTGCTACAGTAGGCAGACTTTTAATGGTCTATTAGGTTTGGTCAGGTTTTGTGCATGAAAAGACCTGGTTATATCAACTCGACAAGTACTCTCACTTGTACACAGTATTGACACAAGACTCAGATGCATCTAACTGAATCCGTCTTTTTTAATGGTTTTCCCAACATAACCTGCATTGATTTTTTGAGTATTTACGTTCTAGTCGTGATGAAAGTTTGAATGACTGACTGGGCTCAAGTGCTTTACATACGACTGTGTTTTGCGACCGCTTATTCTGATTAAAGAGACTAAATGATGGGCATTTCTTTGAGCTTTTTATGTATACTGACATTTTCTTAGCTAAATTAGGAGATAACGTTAAATTTGTTATACTCTATCGACCCTGTGTTATCGACATTCCAATTATTACTCATTAAGAACAATTCAGCTTATTTTTATCCCGAAAATACTTCCCCTAACTTTCAAGTATTTTGCAAGGGATGGCCAGGTGGCATTTTAGGTTTTTTGGATGTCAAGTTATACGGTAATTCCTCAATAAGTAGTCAGTTGACACCAATTTTCAGGTTTTTAGCAAGATAGCTGATCGTGGTTTAGCTATGGCTTGTCTGTGGGGGACAGAAAATATCTCGTTGTAATAGGAGAGGTAATCAAGAATAGGTTCCACAAATAGGCCCAGGTAAAGAAGGGATATCTGAATAGGTAGTCCGCCAAAACCCAAGACTGAACTCTTTATTTTTACTCAAAAGTGAGTCAAAAAACGCCCAGGAATACTGGTTATTGGAAGACCGACGGACAGATGCTATGTATTTTAATTATACTACTCTTCGAATGCAATCGATTCCTCTCAATCTAGTCCTTACAATCTAAACCTGTCAACAGCCAGGTTTCCATTTTTTCAATCAAGTCACCGACCACTCCACGTAAAGCTACGAGAATACTAAAAACCGGCAGAAGAGAGCAGCATAGCTCTCAAAGAGTAGCCAAATACTGCTTCATTTTTGGCAAGTTAACTGAGCCTTTCCTGAGTCACCAAGAACCATCATCGGCCATGAAAGAATTCACAATGAGCATCTGAGATGCTTCCATTCGGTCGTAGATACTTTTGCAATCATACAAACCGAGTTGATAATGCTCATTGAGCTGAGAAGACCAGTATCGTGTGCGCAATCCGCGCTGACCTCAACCCTTTGTGTACCGTTGAGATGATCGCGAGACAAGAACAGTTTTTTAGTGCTTTCACTTGCCTCGTTAATAGGTGTCACCATCCTCTGGACCTACAAATCTCATCGCTTCCGTAATAAAAATTTCCAGCCTTTCACTCGGATACGCACTGTCTACGATTATCCTAGAGTATGTCATGCGATTTTGAATTCGTGATTGACTTTTCAATAAAAGTGAGGTTTCTGTGAAAACTGGGGTAGGTTTTCAGAATCTGACCACATTTTTTGCAAAGGTTGCCGAATTCCTTGATGTATTCAGTACGGATGGATACGCTCTTCAGAAGTGCCAATAATTTGAGCTTGGACGCTTTAAACTGCCAGAGTTTGCGCATTACTGGATAAAAATAAGTATTTTAAAATCTATCGACACTTTTTTCAAAAATCGTGAGAGATTTAGGATTTCAGGCTCTGGCCTGAAGCTTGCATACAACGTATTGCTGTTACGCCGACTTTGCCGGAAAGTTGTCCTTGTATTTTTCAAAATATCTCTTACAACTATGCGTTCATAAGTGATTTCATAAACGTAGAACGTGAATGAATGCTCCGATGCGTGAAGCGAAAGATGCTAGGTCGGGGTTGCATTATATGGGCTTCTGGCGTGAGAAGCTGTTGACGATGTGACTGAATTTCAAGGAACGTACCAACTCCCTGGACAAACCGAAGGGTATTCTTAGCCTATGCAGCCAAGTTAGCCCAACCACAAGTTATTTACAAGTCAGATATATCGCCTGGTAGAGTACAACCACTTACCACAATATTCACGTCTTTCTGCAATTTACCGATGATCGACACGATTTCTTCAACTCCCCGACTGCCGCTGTAGTAGAGCTCGGCTCCAGCGAAAGGTTCCCTTGTTTCGCCACGACGTATTTGGGTCTTCAACTCCTCAAATATTACTAAAATAACGGGAAGTGCAACAACGGTAAATGAATTGTGTGACAAATAATCGATGTGACAATGTACAATCATATAGGAAGGATGTTCGCACAGTGATATTCTTCTTCCTTCTCTGAAATTAGTTTGAAAAGCGTCATCCAAACCGCGTTTATTCCACCCCGCTTGGATGAGCGCTCTCTTCAATGCCAACATGGCCTGGTAAAATAGTCAAATACGCTCCGCTCCGATAAATAATTGACGGGGCTACATAGTTCTGCGTGGCATCGAGTCCCATGCAAGGTGTCGGCTCGGGTAACATCGTTTTATTGTATTTTGTTCGGACAGTATGTTTGACTACTCTGGAACTGTAAGCCCTCACGGATGCTGAATCATCGATTTTTGGAACAGGGACAAAAATCAATGGAAGGCCAGTCCAGAGTTGGATGCACTCAACTTAGAATTATATTCACTTTGCTACGTCTACGGGCCCCCTCGTGTCATCTGGTTTTATAGACCATAGTCAAATCTTTCCCAGATACAGTAACAGTATGACACCTAGTCATGAACATCAGGACAGAGTGACTGAAAGTAAAGTGTTAATGGATAGAAATCAAAACCTACGATCAACCAACATTGAGTTTTGTAATATTTTCCTGACTTTTCTATTTCCGGAGAGCGTAAAACTTTGCACAGTTCGGCGGCTATTAACAAAATAATCTGGTCTCACTACAAACTGTCTTCTGCTGTGTCGTTGCAGATCAATTAGGACGGCATGCAATAACTTGTTCGGCTCAGCACACCAGGTAGCTGAAATCACTAGAGTGCAGACCACATGGCCAATTACACGAGTTGCGCAATTACGCGAGACCAACATTAGTCACCACACCACACACACATTCGTCCCGCAAGTTTGCTTCCTCCGTTTTCATGAAACAGGCTTCTTGGTACCTCGTGAATCACTGGCTTAGTTGGGATACCAATGTGACGGACGGTTTAACACGTCTTGCTGTCGGAGCGGGTGTGAGCGACCGTTTAGTGATGCACAGTAAGGCACAACTCCGCCCCGCCGAAGAAAGCGGTGCACTGACAGAGTCATCTGGGTTAGGAATGGAGAACAAAAGATTCAACCTTGGAGAAGAGTTTAACCGTAAATTTCCTACTTATTCGAGTGTGTTCAGATTGATAGACATTGCGTGGGCCACGAAATCCCTTGAGGACATCAACATTATATTCTGCTGCCTGGTGGTGTCTGCTCAAACTTGCTGAGAAAGCCCATTTCCCTCCATGATGAAGGTATTCCAGAAAAGGACATCGGGTGTGAAAACTTTGACAGGTAGGGTGGATCGTGATCAGGCGCACTGCGTCTAGTAAAGACACAGGTTTGCAATAAGCGATACACGATTGGCTAAAACAAACAGAATGTTTCTAGTGCATCTGATTTGCCATCCTCGTAATTTCATGCGTAAGGAGCTATCACGACTGTGACATTTTCCCATTTTCCCAACTGATTTCAGCTTGTGAGCGTAAATGCAAGCTTCTGTGTATCTTTATGCATTTTTGGATCATTGAAACAATAGGAAATATCTGCATACAAAGGACAACAATGAATACGTCCAAAAGTGTGTGGAACCTTCTCGACGGTGGACTACTTCAAACACATAGTTATCTGAAAATGTAGAATTTCATTGTTTGATGACATGTAAGTTACACGGGACGATGTATTTCCCGATGTTTGGAAGAAAAATAAACGAACTGAACTATTCACGATAAAAACTAACCATTCTGAGCAGCCTACCTTATACAAACAGTGCCCGGGTGAATTCGAACTGCAACTTTGCAGCTATAGCGTGGGCGTCATTGATCCACCATTTGTACTGTTCTTTTTTCAATCTTTTGCATGCATTCATTTATCGAGAATTGTTTACACTCATCGCATCTTCACAAACAAGGTGCTTTGTTTGCGCTGCAGTTGTGTGCATGTGCATGTTGACTTTGATGTAAAGAGTGTAAAAGATGTAAAGATCTCCGTTCCATTTTTGCGCTGCAGTTGTGTGCATGTGCATGTTGACTTTGATGTAGAGAGTGTAAAAGATGTAAAGATCTTCAACCGTTCCATTTCCAAATGGCATGCCGAACAATCGGAATGCAAAGAATGAGAACGTAGTTTACGGAATGTTGCAGGACCTAGCATTTATTTCGAGAATCTATCGTTTAACACGTGTAATAATCGAGCAATCGAGAATGATATCTTCTGATCCGTATTAAGTAACATGCATTCTATCGTTTAACACGTGTAATAATCGAGCGATCGAGAATGATATCTTCTGCTCCCATAACATGAATAGAATTACTGGGTTTTGTCAGCGAACTTATGCAAAAGCCACACTGACTTGGATATAGTTTGATCTAAGATTTAATTTGTACCGGTGTCGCTGAAATCGATTAGTAGATAAAGAATAATAGGGGTCTATGAACTAAGAACGTTCGGGATTACATGGAAAATTAGAAGTATTTCGAGACTGTTCTCGAAAGCAGTCCGATTGGGTTTCAAGTAGAGCATAAGGTTCATGGAAACTCGGGGTCTGCGCCTACTGATGAGCCACAACTAGGGCGAAACCAGTCGTGGGCTGTCGAAGAGTTTTCAGCAACCTCATGAGTAGTTTCCTTCATGAAAATATACTAAGATGTCTCGAATATCGTGGCAACTGAAACTTGAGGCCGCCTGTGTGCAGCGCATTCGGTTGTAGAACGAGAGACTCAGTTGAGTCTCTCATGAAACCAAATTGATTTGCAAATGAGTGTATTTCTGGAAGTATTTGTCTTTGAAATTTTAAATCTTGTGTTATCTGTAGATTAGAATCAGCTGATAAGGTGGTTGTCAACCTCAAAACTTTAGATCAAATCGATTTTTGATTCTCTTGGAAGTCAGCCACGAGCACCAAATTCCCGACAGATAATAATGACAAGACAGTTTTGTATCATCAGCGTGCGCACGAAGGCACGTTTGGCTGGAATTATTCTGACTTATTAAAACCTTTAGGTGGACGATACCCCCGACAGATAATAATGACAAGACAGTTTTTTATCATCAGTGTGCGCACGAAGGCACGTTTGGCTGGAAACATTCTGCCCCTTATTAAAACCCTTGGGGGGACGATACTAAGCAGACTCAAAATTAAAGGAACAATCAGGTTCTACTTCCTCATAGTTCGAAAAAGGGTGTGAATTGTAACAGGTCATTGTACGATCCCGAACGATGAAGTCCGTGATACGCGTAAGCTGTCGACCTTAACATGCAAATCTTATCGTGGGCGGTGGAGCTTGTTACGGCTAATATTTAAAAAAAACTGCTTACCACTTTCTGGAGTAAGTAACCTAATTTTATGGCCGTGTCAGGTTTTGAGTGACCTCACCTCCTAACGTGAAAAACGTAACCATTCGCATTTTTAAAACAGGTGGCAACGGAAAAACTGCGATCGTTTTTCGTCGAATAGGTTCAGGAAAGCTGGAGAAAGAAGTAGGGTGCAGTAGTTTTAATCATTAGCTATCTCAAATGGCTTTTGGCAATAAGCAGTTGATTCAAAAATGTGAATTTAAAGACTTACATTACTCCTGTTTCCAATAGCTGTGCAGTTCACCTTTAAGACGGGAATTCCCGCTTTTTTAATCCGGATCTATAGTTGTCTAAAAACCAGGGGGCGCTTAAATCGTCTCAACGATGCTTTGGGATAAACAGGATGGCCGTTCCAATGACGAACATCTACAACTTGTTAAGTTAAAACCGATTCACCGTTCAAAAGTTTGTGACGAATAAAATATTTTCGCCCTTTCCTTAATACCATAATAACGCCGCAAGATTGATCGCTATGTTTTTACTCCACGAGCATCATTTTGGAGAAAGCGTGCACTTATTCGTCCGCCCAATAGAGATCCCGTAAAAAATTATGAATTACCAGGGGAACGTAAAACAATCTGAGACGTCGATAGGATAGAAAGGAGGAATTAACCATACCTTAGAATGAATGCGATAGGTTCGACGGGTACCACAGCTGGCGATAAAGTTATGTAGGATGTGACCCAATGACATCGTTTGTTTGAGCGAACCAAATTTAACTTCGTAGCAAACCACTAGTGGCAAACTAATAATAGTTGAGCAAGACAACGCTTCACTGTATGAGTCTATGTATCCGCTTGGTTGTTCGTACATCAGACCTTCCCTTAAGCTTTGTATATTTTAGCGTGTTTTTCGCACTAGAGGAAATTGGTGGTGAGCAGTGATTGATTCCAACTTGTTTGGGCTTTTAAACCAGTGGGATGCTTTGAGCCCGTACAGGTGTTTGAACCCTGTGCGCGCTAAGTGGTTGCAACCATCACTGGAACGCAAATATGACGCCTGTTACACGCATGTAACGTGCGAGCTGACATAATTCTTGAGGAATTTTGTTGATAAGTACCAAACAAGACAAAGCGCTTCTGCAGTACATATTCCTCCCATCAACAGAAAGTGGAGCCAAGTGGTTAGTGGACATTAAAATAGAAAATTGCTTGGGATACGTGTCAAGCAGTTGAAATATTAGATGAAGGGAGAAATTCATTATTAGTAGGAAATCATTGTATTAGTTTTTCACCACAAACATTGGTGCAGGCAATCTGAAGCCAGTCGTAGGTTATGTTATGTTATCTGCTGCAGCTACCAGCACTGCTGTACCGCGTAAATAGCTCTAGTGCTAAAAAAACATAGATGTGTTCGAAAAAAGGAACGGAGATATTTTGGTTTATGGCATTTTCCAGCAGGACTCTGTTGTTTAGTTGTAACGATTCTTCTCTCTCTCTGTCTAATGAAGCGGAACTTCAATTCATGGTAAAAAAGGTAACTGCGACTGTAATTTTTAAGACTCGCAGACATAATACACTTGAGAGAATACAGGTTCTTTTCGGTCCAACAGATGTCTCTTCTACGCGGGGAAGAACTGCTTTCAGAATATCTGCTCAACGAGCATGGCGATTTTTTCAATCCTTATTAGGGACGCATTAACTGAAAAGTAATCCTTTATCCCTTTAGTCTCCATCCTCACATTCTCCCATGTTTGCCGTGCATTAACTCAGCAACACGACGCAAGATTCAGGTCAACTGTCCTTTATTATCGTCCTCAGTTGCATTTCAGTGCAAAACTTACGTAACATAAAGTCATCGTACGAGTCCGACGAGAACGGGGTGGACCGCGGTGATCGCTTGCGAACGAAGGCATCGGTCACACCACGAGGGATTCGGACCGCGGTGATAAGACCTGGCGAAGGAAAATGTGAAACCGTGAAGCGCTGAATTCTGCGTGAGATCATTACTCGTGATTGTTATTCAGTCGGGCCGTTTTTTCCAGTCATTAAGCGTGCATCACAAAAGTCTTCCCTTAGTGTGAAATTCTAATAGCATAAAAACAGGTTGGAAACTTATGTTAACATCCTCTGTATCAGTACCTTCCCAATCCATTAGAAGTTTTACACACACTCCGAATAACGTCAATTCGATTTGTCTTCTATCCGGTAGGCCAACAACCGTTCCGTAGCCGGTTCCTTCCAAAGCCCAAGATCACATTTTATCTCGGACTGGAGTGTCTCAGCCATTTTCCAAATGAATTACAAGGTCAATTCTAGTCAACATTGTCTTTCTTTGCTGATGCAACCGGTTTGTTTTATCACTTGTTGACACACACGGGGCTTTCGAGCAACGGTTTGAGGCACGGAGCGATATCCTGTTGCCTGACGTCTAAATGAACTTTTTGTCCTGTTCTCTTATGAAGAATTGGATGTGTAAAACACGGTCATTGAGAAAACAAATGCAAATAACTCGGCTTGTTGTGTTGACACACACGGGGCTTTCGAGCAACGGTTTGAGGCACGGAGCGATATTCTGTTGCCTGACGTCTAAAGGACCTTTTTGTCCTGTTCTCTTATGAAGGATTGGATGTGTAAAACACGGTCGTTGAGAAAACAAATGCAAATAACTCGAAAACTTCTATGATAAATACAAACTGAAGAGACTGTCCCTAGCAGTAATTTACTGACTGAAAAAGGGGTTGATGCACCGGTTTGCACCGACTAAAATTTTACTGAGGCGCTGCTTCCCTATTTCACCACCATTTGTTTGATGACCGGCTAGCCGTAAACAGACTAGGGCTAAGAACCCAAGCTTACATATTTAACGAGTTTGTACGCGGTTCTTTTTTGAACATCAGAAAAGTCCAAACAAGCAGGCAGTGCCCATATGCGACCTGGTTTGTTGCTTACCTCGTGGATGAGCACCCACGGAACTGAGGGATTCCCCATGGAAGATACCTTTTCGTTCAATGCACGTACTGTTGTCACCTCCGCACACACGACAGCGATCAAAACGTTGACTGGACCCAAGGATACCGTCACAACCCGTTTCCTGAAGAAAGAATATTTAGAGGTAAATGGTTTTTGTCGTGCTCAGGTCCTTGTGGCTAGGCACATGCAGTAAAATCATTAGTTCACCCACCCGAAATATCGGTTTCCATTTGAGTTCCACTTTGAGATTAAAATAGATTTTTTGTTCTGGGTCTGATCACCCATTTTATTGTGAATAGTAATCATTTATCATTTATTGAGAAAAAATTGCCTGTTTGTCGGAGATGTTTGCTACTTTGTCTTCGGATTGGTCATATCTAGGGTACTTGGATTCATACGGAACTGGTAAAAACCAGCTGCTTTATCTTCATTTAGTGCAACACATTTTGATGGTCTACCATTTTGCCCCACTCCCCTAACTCCATGAACTGTACGAAATATGTTAAGGTGCTGATCTGATTTCCTGCATGTATGGGTATTTTATAAGCACCGGAATGAAGCCCGTGAACAAAGGTGCTGATATCAATATACCGTCCTGTGTAAACCAGAGACAAGTTGACACAATGGAAATCGAGGTAGAAATGGCTGCCTGTTCGGAGGGTGGCTGAAGCCTAAAAGTACAGTCATTCATCGTATTTATGGGCCCCATAAAAAACCAAGGCCAACTGTACACCACGTATACTAGTTTATACAAGTATAGCGCCATACCAAACTACTTCTTTGTCGCTGAAGAATCTACTTGAACCCGTCCCTAAACAGCTTTGCACATAGGCTTCTGGGCACATTCTGGCTCTCTGAAGCAATCCAAGATGTGCTTGGAACACATGTGCTTGTTCGACGCTTAGTCCCTCCTTATTATCCTACTCCTCTTGAGAACAGCTGAGTTTATCTGTGTTTTTCTCTATGACTCCAATACTTTATTCACCCTATCTGACTGGGAGATTACTTTCATGGTGTACTTTTAACACAGATTTTATCCACTGGTACTACCTACCGCTAAACACCTGCCGTTATGATGTGTTCTCCACTTATAAGCTAACTTATGCGCCAGTTTATAGCTCTCTGTGGAACAACTGGAATTTTTCTAACTTCCGTAGGACAATCATCGAGATTGAAGACCCGTTGCCTGACCGTCTACGCAAGACGAGCGTCCGGTGTAGCGGCCAACTACTCTCATGGATAGTGTGCCGGTTCAAATTCCCTTTGTAAATATATATTTACTTGTGTGTCTGATAGATTTCTGTGGAGATCCTGAATTGTATCTTCAGGCACCTACCCAAGGAAATTAAAGAGCACTTCTAGATTGCTGGAAAACCAGAGCACTCCAAAATGTGACAAGCACTAACGCCAATTATCTGGTCAATACAGACTTGCGGCCGAGTTGTTCAACGTCACGCATCCACTTCGGTGAAATCGATCAAGGGTCATCCGCGGACAGATATTATAAATAACCCAGGTAACTCCTACTCGGATATATACCTCTCCTTTGTGAGCTAGAGGGACTAGAGTATAAATCTGATATTGCGTTGCGGCATCAATCAGACCCGCCGTCAGTTAGAGGGAGCTCTCGGTTGTAAACCAGCAGTAGGTCAAACATGCATACTACTTAAAACGAATTTTTCGCATATTGCCATTATGTTTGCCAGATGAGGCTGGACTGAAAATAGTCAGTTGCAAAACTGTGTGGACTTCATTCCATCGACCAAGAGTTGTATAAATAGTCCATCTGTGTAATCTACCAACTTCAGAGTTTCGTTACTGTACAACAATGGGCATGCCATAATTTCCTTAAGATTAATGTATTGGCCACAAGAGTATAAAACTGTATTTGGATACATTTGCGAGTGAAAAGATATGTGTGAGATTATTAGACAGATTTACACTGCGCCTTCAGCGTCAATTACTAATGATACTGTCGAAACACGGTCGAGTACAGTCGACCAGACGGTTGACTAGTTTTTGTTCAAGAGTTCTTGTGGCTAGCTAATACTGGGCTGTATTAGGCGGGCGATAATACCAGGAAGTAAGTAAACCACTCACGGTAATCTGCAGCCACGTCTTTTTATATCTGAAAGGCACAGTGTGTCTCGCTTTTTCGAAATTGATCGATCGCATCTGGACAAACAAGTCGATACTAACCAAACACCATTGATCTAGAACGATGTTACTGATTGGTATTCAGAAGCGTTACTTGGAAATCATTTCACAAAGTTATTCTGTCTGCGGAACAAATCCATTAAGAAAACAATGCTGTCATCGTTGTTAGCCTGATTTAGGGAGTGGCTGGAACTGGGACATCTCAGGCAACATCCTATATTCGCCAAACTTTAGATTCTCATTCCAAGGCTAGTAGTTACTACGTACAATGGATCGTTCATACATTCTTTACTCTTGTGTCACGTACGATGTTTTTCACTGTGGATCGGATGTCGTATGTTTAATTTTTCATATTCCTGGTCGGGTTTGCAGATGTACCGCGTGTAAATTTCTTGATAGGACTGTTCGTGCGAAACCGACGTCCACCCTCGTGGACCATCAAGCAACTGACTGCGAACAGTCAATGGGAAAATAGTGATTGACTGGATGACGAATCTTTGGACAGAGGATGAATAAAATTCTATGAGAGGATGTCCGTCATGTAAGACCACCCAGAACCAGCTTTAATTAGATTAAAATTGGGCATATGGGTTTAGTTGCTTGATTTAAAGATGACTGACAAGAAAGCACGCCGAGGTGGTTGTTTCGGAACAATTTGGAACGTTCGTTCTCGTCCGCACAGATGTAAAATTCGCAGTTGAGAATATTCTAACTGCAATCCTAGTGTAGCCAGTTAAGCGGTTCTCTAGAAATGGACACATCAGGTCGAAATAATGGCGCGAACTGCCTGACTGCAATGAAAGTTTATTTGATTTTGATATTCAGAAATCTGAACTGCCTTAGTGCGTATTCGTTTACAAGCTTTATTCAGGCATTCAACCAGAAATGAGAGTCACTTTCCATTAAAGAATTTTCACCTACAAGTCAGGGTTTTAACATAACATTAGATTAGATTTGTACATCATATATACGATCGATAAATCAGGTGATTATTGACCATCAGTACTTGTTTGTGCCTAATTATTTTTTTAATGTTGATTGTAATAAGCATGCTATCTGGGTAAAACGTGAGATTTTGCTCAATAGTATGCGTTGTTTGAATATAGCTTTAGTGACTGCAGTGCAGTCGTGGTAATAGTGTAAACAGATGTATATCAAAACCTACCCAACACCTGCCTTTGATACAAATGTCGTCCCGTTGTGCATAGCATGGAGTTCCGTCCGGCAGACTGAGACCATGTTGTACCGCATGACCGTTGTCCAAGCAAGTTAGACTACATGATGTGGCCTCACCGACTAGTGTGCAAATAAAATAAGGACACGCAGCTGCTTAGAACGAATGCAAGTGGATGGTAGTCGAACCGCAGATATGTGTGTAACAGTAGCGAACTGGCAAAGACTCGTGTTGCCCAGAACTGGAATACATAATTCGTTTTGTAAGGACAACTCATCAAGAGATGTATGTCTTTAGGTGCTAGGTAAAGTTAGGTAAACCGATCCGCACACACTCTGTACAATAAACTCTTTGTAAAGAGCTTTGTTCACATTTTTCTCACGCTTGCCACTGATCATCCAGAGAGGGGAGCAAGGACTTGTAGATTTTAGGATTAGTGAGTGAAACTGAGGGACTCAGGGTTTACTGTCATCGTCTGAAGGATAGCCACTGCCATAGTGAAACTTAGAAACCAAGTGAATAGCCTTCATTGATGAATTAGGCCCCCGAACCGGACAATGGTCAGTTAACTTCCAACGTTTGCGTAGTTCGACGAATTGCAGACACACATTTAAACCTATGTGTTCATAGGCGAATAGCCAGTCTGCAACCAATGAAAAGGAGAAACCAGTTTTACGGAACGAGTTCACAAGAGGTGCATTTTCTCTCTGGTTAGACAATAAACGTCTACAGTCATGTCAAAAATTTTTCGTATAGAAATACGGTCAGTGTGGGTCGGTAAAGGTTCCTGCGAATGTAAAACAGTGCTATTGGATGAGGTTAGGAGAAACCAGTTTTACGGAACGAGTTCACAAGAGGTGCATTTTCTCTCTGGTTAGACAATAAACGTCTACAGTCATGTCAAAAATTTTTCGTATAGAAATACGGTCAGTGTGGGTCGGTAAAGGTTCCTGCGAATGTAAAACAGTGCTATTGAGATGAGGTTATTTTACCCACAAACCTCTGGATCAGATGGAGCTTGATTCAACTTTTGAATAATTAGAAGTTATGAGTTGGGGAAAATCCAGAGTAATGAAGGCGGGATATTCTTGGAAAAAAGAAGGCAGGAAGAGACCAGATCCACTAATGACCGGCGATGACCTGTTAGGCGAGAAAACGCTGAAGGTAGGCTGGTGAATACTTTCTGTGAAAATAAAAGTAGAATAAAACTAGAGACACTTGAATACTAGCAATCAGCAACAGTGTATCGATACAACGTAGATTGATTGTCTGAACGGAATCCAGGAATAATAAATAAGAAGTCTTCATCCGAAGAAGTGACAGTTCAGGGGGAATTCGGGATCCATAGATTTAGAAAACTTGAAGCGTTTGCGCGTTCCAAGATGCTTGGTTTAAAAGGACTTTGATGTGTAAATACTATGATTTTCTGGCAATAACAAAACGGACCAAGAAGGGCAGCTGAGTAAGACAGAGTAGTTTTGGTAGGTCTCACTTACTGATTTGACTTCAAAATGGAATGATGAAGGAAGGATGGGAACACAGGAAGACTTAAAAGTGTTGGTAGTCACAACATCTAAGAATCCCTAGTCGATAATAGCAGCAAGAATGGCTTTCGGGGTAGCAGAGTTAAAAGTAAGTCGGAGGGCCGAAAACATTTGGATGCATAGAAATACAGAGCAGCCAAATAGACAAGAAGCTCCTAATCCGAGTTAATAAGCCCGGATAAGCCTGGATTCAGCCGATAGATGGAAAGCTGGCCAAAAGGTTCCACCTGTCAACCTCACCTAAGTTTCTTTGTTATATCTCGAGCAACCATACTTCTTCCAATAAGTTTTTCAAGAGGAAAACGTACGATCTAGAGAGGGCTGTGGAATTGTGGCACTTTTACTTGAGAAGGCGTTGCCTTCAAGATCTCGGGGCCGTGTGGGTCGACTTGATACAAATTGGGTAAAGGTGGACCGGTAATCATTAGGGTCAGAGCGGAAGCCATGTTTAGAGATGAAGAAGTTGAATGAAGAATTTCATTTTTAAGGATAGGGATAGGATAAATAACTTTGAAATGACTGACGACATTTTTCCAGCTGCATTACGGAGGGAGATGAAAGGGGTTTTATTCGAACCAGCTTGTCTGGATGTGTTGAGTACTTGCACAAAAACATATAGACGCCACTCGCGCTAGTAATCACCCAAATCAATGGGGTCCTAGAAGTTAGGTAGACTAATACGAAGTAAGAAGACTAATCAGTGGGATCGGAACAAAGTATTATGCGAAAAGCTTCACTATTTATAGAAAAAAAGAGGAATAAGGGGGGTCTACTCACAAGTTTGCTGAAAACATTTCAGCAACCTTTTGAGTAGTTCTCTTTTGGAAAAATACTGCGATTATTTTGAAATCGTAACTACTAAAACACGAGGCAGCCTATGTGCAGCTGCTGATGAATATCATAAACAAGAGATTCAATTGTGTCGCCCGTGAAACCGAATTGATTTGCAAATGAGTGCATTTGTCGAAGAGAGGAGTGAGACTTATCAAAACGGTATGGGATGGCACGAGAATGAACAAAGTTTGCAACTGACTGCGCTAACCAGACTCCAAAAAGATCGGAGATTAGTAAGTAATTTTGGCAGCTACGTAACCTTTCGTGCCATAAAATTATCCCCTGTTCTGTCTATCGCAGATGAAGGTGCAGGAGAGCGCCGAGGTGCAAGTATTCATCCCTCGACGAGTGTACTGTCTGTTTTTTCCCTTTTTCCTACTTTCAATTACATATCGTCACACCGTTCGCGGAATAGATGTTTCATTGTTTAGCGAAAATTAGAGATGAAATACCGCGCATACTCAGAGAAAAGATTGATAATATTTTGGTAAAAAATAAAACATCTTCCAAAGGACAACCTTTCCGAAGATAGTTTTAGAAAAACGGATTTATGCTACCCCGAGTAGCGAAAAAGTGGCTAGAGAATGCGGACAAAGATATGATTTTTGAAGAGAAGGCAAGTAAGAAAAGAACTTTGCCCTGGTAAACGAGTGCCGTGAAGGAGGAAGTCACAGAGCCATCTGACGGATCAGGAAGTTTGAAGGCATCAAGGGTTTGAACAGCGTTATGGTCGCGGTGGGGAACTTAGCCTGAAAAGCAGCCAAGTTAGGCAGTGAAATTCTTGATGACCTCATGTCAAACAGGGTCTGAGTGGGAACAGAAACAAAAGGGAATCTGTTGACTTTTGTGAACAGCGAGACCGCCAAGGGTGAAGATTTTCGCGGTTGTGTCAGACTGCAGTATTTGCTTACAGCTAACTTGTGACAAGGAAAAAGAAGGGTAATATAGGTCACCATTAGGAGACCAGTAAAGACAGGGCCGTGTCTTTTGCACAGGAGATTCGAATTTAGTCTTAAAACGGTGGCGCTAAGGTCCATGATGAGAAGCTGAGTAAAGAATGTGGTTGGGAACATTCAGGTGTGTGAGGCAACCTCGGTGGTAGAAACGCGTTTCAGTAAAGAAAACGGAAGTTGGAGCAAACGGCACGAATTGATCGACCAGGTTGTCGTTGTGGGCGGATGTTATATCATTAGGCTTTGAGACAGCATGAGAGCATATCAACTTAGAATCTTGCAGAGTGGGACCACGTAAGAGTGCTCTAATTTGGACGCTTGTACCTATCCATTGGGTGCCGTCCACCACCTGATACATTGGACAACTGAATGCCGTTCTATTTGATTATTCTTTACGACAAACCAGTCTTGTACACTAATTCGAAGAAAAATGCGTGAAAATACTGTCGTAGACAAACTAAGGCAAAACATCTATATGATATACTCAGGCCAGTTAGATTAGGCGGGTCGGAACCGCACTAAACTTTACTCACTAAAGTAACCTCTAGAAGTAATGATTCGTTTCCCTGTCGCTTTTCAGGTTGTGAATTTTTAAATTAAGGTGAGCATGTTATGTTTTTTAACCGGAGCCAAATAAACTCCTACTCTTACTCTTCTGATCACGGTTTTCAGTCAGGTTTAGGCATTTTCAACTAGTAGAGTGTACCAAAAACCGGTTAGAGGTACATAATTAGTCCGTCTGCGATGGTACACATTTTTTTCGCTGAAAACATCTTCACAAGGTAAACTGGAACCAGAGGGACATTCTTGGTCTTTGTAACAGAGGTCGAGGCCTAGGGAGCGGCGACATAATGTTTTCGCGGTGGCTTAAATCTCGAGTGAACTCACGTTTAGGTATATAGGCTTCGAGATGACTGCCGTATTGTGCAGCGATACGGTTACAAAGATGTTGTCGAATATCGAATGGTTGACCACATGGCTGAAATGAAAAAAAGGTTGAAAAGATCTCATGCAGCACGAATTTTCACGTGAACGTTCCATTTAACCAGAGTGTTTAGCTTAATCGTGAGGCTCTCGTGAAAAAATTCTGCCGTCGACCAGTGCTTCAAGTGCAGAAAATCAATAAAAAACACTGCTACATAAGAAGTCGAGAACACGTGGGAGAATCTCGTACTAACAGGAGTAGTCCTTGCGGTCAACTTTATTCAGCATTGGTTTGCTATTTTTACAACTGTTAACGTCTCCAATATCGTAAAATGGCGTAGATGAAAGAACATATTCACTCTTTTATTACCTCATGTAACGCCTTGTCGAGAGAACTAAAGCAATGTCTAAGTAGTCAAACAAAAACCACATAGTTGTGTCCTTTTGGTTCTTATGACAGTTTGCTCCTTCGCCTAACAGGATTAATGCAGAGTGCTGGAAAAGAATTCACCAATACGTTTCCTTAATGAAAATATACTGCGATATATCGAATACCGTGCCAAGTGAAGCATCAGGCGGCCTGTGTGCAGCACATTCACTTGTAGACTATCATAAACGAGAGGTTCAGTTAAGTCCCTCGTGAAAACCAAACTGATTTGCAAATGAGTGTATTCCTCGAAAACAGTCCAATTTGGGTTCAAGTAGAACGTAAGATTGACGGAAACTCGGGGACTGCGCCTACCTGATGAGCCCCAAGAAGGACGAAACCGGTTGTGGGCTGTCGAACAGTTTTCGGCAACCCTGTGAGTAGTTCCTCTATACAAACCTAACGTAGTAGCAAAATGTTGAAATTTGTGCCATATTAACCAAAATCTATACTTTGACTCAACCAATCCCAAATTCAACTATTATTTATGTTTGTTAATCATTAATTTATTATTTGTAGGCACGTCCAAACACTTCATCTGAGCAAAGTTGGTCAGTTGGCAGGCAAAGCCAAAACCCGAAGACATTACACAACATTTCGCTCATTTTGGACGTCCCCAGCGACATATATCTCTTGAGAAACTGGAACCAGCCATCCACCTTCCGGTTGTTGACTGAATTCGGTTGGTCAATCAGTAGACAGGCGAAGATTCCTCTCATGGAGTGGCTTCATTCGTAGGATAAAACTTCTACAAAACTCCGAAAAACTCACCTACCTCCAGCGTACACGTAAACATAATGTCGAAAATCCGTTTCTAGGGAAGTGTTCTACACTTGAAATGATTGATAAAAATCTAGCTTTATTCCCAGCTGCTGCAATCACTGCGGAACCAATGAACATTAATTTTTCTAGCTGGAAATCTGACAGTTTGGAACCCGTCTACGCAATGGTTGAAGAGTTACCGGAGCAGTAAACGCTAGTCTGGGTGATGCTCTGAGAACTGAGCTCACGTTCTAAAGAAGTCCGGTTGGTAAACATAAACGTGTGTCCGAAAATTCATTCCTCCTTACTCACGTTTTTGTCTGTTCGGGACCAGCCAGTTAGTGACAAAACCGGTTCGTAGTGTGTCAGCACACTCGTCGATTGTTTGCTCGACGTGTTCGACGGTTATCGTGTCCCACCGTACATCAAAAATGGTCATATCTCCAGTTTGTGCAGACTGCCGTCTCAAGGGGTTAACATTACAACGCCAACTCTATTGTGAACAGTTCCCAAACGTGTCATTATTATAGCTTTTATGGATATACGTGAGTAGACGGTACTAATGAGTAAAATTCGCTGAGCGCAGTCGGCCGTGCATCGGTATCGGAATCCGGGATAGGAGCACTGTCACGGCTAACGTTATTGTCCACCTTTCTTTTCCTGGAAGAAGAACCTGGTAAAATGGCGGATATTAAATATTCTTAGTTGTGCCAGGTACAAAATCATGAAGAGCTGTCTTTTGACTGTTTTGTCTATGACGGTTCCTGACGTGAGTGCCGTTTTTAGGACCCCAGGTTTCTCAAAAACTAAATGGTTGCAAAGAAAATCAAATTATAACTTTACAGATAGCCCATTTCTGTCTACAAAATCATTGTTTTCCACTGTCTCCCGGTTTATTGGGATCGTCCAACTGCGTGCGGCAGATAACGTAGCTTACAAGACTGTTTTATCAGACAAACCCAGAAGTTTTGGTCTTTTGTTTGGTACCCATTTGGACAGAATCCCTGTAATGAGTGCAGCAGGTAAAACTGCCCAACTCATTATCACGCCATTAATCTCCAATCGCCAAGTGTATCTGTAAGCAGTGAATTCCTAAATATTGTGGTTTTTATAAGCTGAAACTTTTAGGTACACTTTGAAAGGCAGATACGTGTGTCTCTAGCACAAAACAAGGACTACAGGATACAACAAATTCGTCGACGCCTCCGGAACTGATATGCATGTGTTCTCCCTTGTAACAGATCTATAAGTTCAAAAGTAAGAATAAGACTCTACTTATGCTGCCCCTTCTCACTACTGTATGCCACTTCCTCCACCATCAAGATCGAGAATCATACCGCACTAGGTACCCCGGACTTCCATTTCGGCGACGCGAGTTCGAATCTCTGCGCGAAAACTATTAAATGCTACACACAAGTTTTTTTAATATAGGCGCTAAAACTTACTTCGTCCTTAAAAAAAGGCATTTGAAAGAATGTCATATCATCTTCATCCAGAAGCATTGAGAGAGAGTGCAAAGTTTGAACATGAGTACAAGTATAGAGAAGCACAAGTGATTTGCGCACTGCGAAACTCTGCCAACAGGTATTTGAAAAATAAAAACACTTCCCAAAGACAAATCCTGCTACGTTCCACTCACTTACCTGAATGGCACAAGAACGCATGCGTGTCCGTGTCCCGTGACAAAAGTTGCCACCATTTTGTGGTCTGTGATGACAAAAAATGGAAGGAAAATATATCTGTAAGATCTCAGTCACAGTTGCAAAACTTTGTTCGCCTGCATAGCATGCGAATTCACACAGTAGTGAACCGTCCGGTCTAGTTGGAACAGCTGTCCATAGACGCTCAGATTCGGTTCATGGAACGGACAGCTGAAACTTGATATTGACACAAAACTGGGAGTGTGCTCAAATTTCGTCGAGGTTGTCCTGCGTACACTCCTATGCACAAGGTATTTGTAATCAGCGAAGATCAAATTTGCGCGACTGAGGAACGAAGCTACAGAGAAAACACCCTCCGGGGAGATGCACCTTTACTGTCGTTAAAAGACTCTGTGACTAACGCCTATCTGCAATCAAAGTGACCTCATCGTTTAACCTTTCGTGAATGCATGTTCCATGATTGCAATAGTTTTACAGGCTTTCGCCTTGATGCTAAGTGATGGACGATAAATCACACAACAGCGAGGACTTAGCCGAGAGGCTGATTAGGCTCCTTTGGTTGAATGATTCGACAGTGATCTACGGAGGTTAATCCAAACTATTCATGTTTGTGACTGCAGAAACCACCGAATTGGCAGGACAGGCAATGGTGAAATAATTCGTAAGGAGATGCGCGTTACCTCGATGTATCTCATCCTAAAGTCTACACTGTTACTGTGGTTGGTACAGCAACGTTAATTTATTTCAGTTTCACTTAAAATGGTGGTTTCATCCTTATCAATTAAGGTTTCTTCCTGTCGCTGAGGCCAGTATGCTGAAAAGCCGAGAAGCACTGCGCAGCTGTTTCGATCTTATTAGCAACTATAAGCAGTGTGCATCTCATCTATCAAAGTGTTTCAAACCCATGACCTTCCGAGGCTGGTTGAACAATTTAACCGTTTTCCTCACTCTACGATTAATCCAGAAGTGGCTCAGAGGAAAATTAATTTCACAAAATGAGTGAAACTACCTTCTGAGGGTCCGTTACTCAAGGAGTTGGTCAATACTTGACCGCGTGAGCGGTTCAGTAACGGAGGGGTTGCTTGTTCGACGATCCCAAAGGGAGTTTTGTGAGATGTGCAGTGCTGATGATTCCCAGTTAAGGTGAAACAGATGTGCGGTGCTTCTCGCCTCTTTAGCATAGATTGATCTCACTGACAAGACGAAATCCCAGTTGAAAATTCTAAAACTCTGCTCACATTATGATTAGTTTTATCATCTACAGCGTTTGTATTTAGAAAGTACCGTTTGTGGATAATAGGATCGTCCTATACATTCGCCATCTGCGCCTGACGCCAAACGTATTTTCGAGGAGAAATTAAGGTGTTCAGATGATACTCCTGAAATCATGGGAAACAAATTTAAGGGTATGTTGATGTAATTTGAAGGGATCGCAATTTTTTACCGAAAGTATGACGTAAATTTTGAAGCTTTTTACACAACGAGAAAATCTCACGTTGCCCATTGGTTAACTAAACTATCGATACCGCGACATCTAATGAAATACGCTTCTGCTTGACAAAACGTTAGTCATCAACTAATCTGAAGATCTGTGCAAATTTTGAAATTAGAGGTTAGTGCTTACACTCCGGTAACCTCAGAGCAACCACCTGCCCGCACAATGTACATCCTGGCGTGGTGACGGTGGACCAACATGGTGAATCCATTCACCGATGACGCCCAGCGAAACGATCGCTTTTAAGCCAGAAAAATCGTATGACTGCTGAGTTGTAAAAAATGTGAGGTTGTTCATCCCAACTAAATGCTGGAAAATACAACCTGCTTACATATTTCCAGTTGACCTGATCAGTGCGAATCGTGAACTATTCCGTGTTTTGCTCAATAGCCGAAGAGCGCTGTCCATTTTTTCATCCTTATTGCAAATCACCAGCAATGCGCACTTCACAAAACTCCAGAAAGTATGGGACCCGTGACCTCCCAGATAGTATTTCGAGCACAACCGTCTAGCCTCATGCTGCGTATCGGAGGTATGCTCAGCTCACATTTGGGCTTTAACGCTAGCTATCCTTTGATCATGGAATTCACAGCATGTGGTCACTTGTTCACTGGTTTCTCGAGTGAACACCTCTCAGATGGAAGTGAGATGGTGACTGCCGCTGTTTCCCAATAAGGGTGAGACAGCTTTTCATGGAAATCCCCATTGCAAATTCCAAAACCCTTCATCACATTTTCCCTGAGTGGAGAAACAAATTCTGTGCATTGTATGAACGATGTACTTTATAAACACTTTCACGCAATTCAGATAGCACTCAGGCGACGTGATTCAGGAACCACTCAGTACCTGTCAATGGGGACTGGCAGACCGGCGTGATCAGCTAATATTATGGTTAGCTGTGAACATATTGTGTCCAATCATTGGAATGTATATACCGCTCACAACGAAAACGTTTGTTCCCAATGAATTTCATTTATTCATCCGGTACAGAGGGGAGCATAAAAAGCATCGCCCTGATTAAAACACGCCACTAGATCGCTGCTGCGAAACACCTTAGTGGCGTTTGTTAAAAACAGTGAACAGAAAATGTTCACTAAATGTTGTTGCTCAAAACTATGAACAAAAGCTATGAAAAAATACCTATCCCGCAAAACCGCATAACTGCAACCAAAATTCTGCCCAGTGGGATTTCAAGCGTGTGCCACGCTACNAACGAAAGAAAATAACTATCCCGTAAAACTCCATCGTTGAAAACTAGAAATTCAGGGATTTTGCATCCACTATCCCACACCCGTGCATTCATACAGTGAACTGAGAATTTCATTAGTTGTGCCACCCTAATCCAGTGTCGGGATACGATTTTTGCAAGATATTTTGGTGCATTTTGCTTATCCATAATGTTGTCCACTGGTTGATTAGACAGGTAGTGTTCACTACACTGTTCAGTGCATTAAACTGAACTTGACCGCCTACGACAAAACAGCCTTAAGCTACATGCGCTCTGGACATAATGTGCGTAACTTTTATAGTTTTGGGGTGTGAATACTACTTAACTCTTGATGGTTTGCATAGACCGCCCGCAGCTGCGATCACTTTGCAGGACAAACTAGCCGCTGTGTTCGTTCATTAAGTTTCTTCCAGAAGTAATTGGTGTTGTTCGGTCTCTTATGGTGCTACCTTTAGTAGGAGAATACTGTGATCTTTACTGATAGTGAACATGGTATTATCCAAAACTTTGTGAGTAGTCGTCAACCGACTGAGAACCAGAAGCTTGTTGATCATGGGGATAAACATCTTCAAAAACCTGACAAACCTCATGATAACTATACAACTTCTTGCGACGACGCGCTGTGATATGTAGCTAGTTAAGACTAATTTTTGCATGCAAAATACCTCCGCTTACAAAGCGATTGTTTTTCATGATACAAAATCACTAGTTTTGCAATAATGATCTAGTTTCCAGTTTAGGATATTGCGAATAGCATCCGCACCTTAAGTAGCTTGCATGCCCCTCCCCGTTCCCTGCTGAGTGGTAAAAGAGGGGAACAACCGAGTGCTTTGATCTGATATTAAACACTCTGCTGCTACCTGCGCAACAAAGCTACTTGCGATTAAACCGAATGAAAGTATTCTCAGTCACAACTCGGGAGTCTCATTAAAAGGATAACGTAAAAGGCGATGAAATCAAAAGCGACTAAATCGGCCACTCGGACCACAAAAAACGAAACATTCTTTATGATAACTGCTTACTCAGGATTATTGCATTCACGTTCGGAGAATCGAACACCCCCTCCGCAACTTCTGGAACACGCGGACCACGGACCCCAATGTCCCCAGTTCCCATCCACTCGAACGGGCTTCTGACTAGTCGGAACGCATTGACCTTGAATGCACCACTATGCAGCAGAGTGAAAGGAAGGCAACGATTCAATTGTTCCCAAGTTGCCGGCACTCGAACGCACATTATTTAAAACAATTTATTTTCAAGTGGAAGAGATCTTGATGAAGCACATTCCATATTTCCGTGCAAATAAACGCGAGTGTTTTTTTTTGAAAAAAAATGCCATGGCAGTATGTCCAAGAAATCTGTGTGCCTCCAAGCTTTTTACTCTAGTAAGATAAAAACTCTATTTTTTAAACATCAAGGATGAAAAGTGATCGGTTTCAGATGTCCCTGGTCTTTTGCACTATTTTAAACGTCACTTTGATTGAACACAGTCTTCTGATAAAAAAATGGACGAACTATACTTACATCAAACTTCTGTGGAAACATGGTGTGAGAAGGAACTACTTAACTTAGTGAAAAGAATATGTATCGCTCAATGATACAAATATTCAGCTTAATTGGGTGGAGATGTATTGGAAATTATAGCAGAAATTTGCGTCATTGGTTTGCAAAATCTCGCACAAATTGTTAAACATTAGTGTGTATATTACGTTGATCTGTAAATTCCTACCAGAATTCGAACATGTATTCGATTGTTTGAATTTTTGGACGAATGGCCTTTGTGAATAGGTCGTTTGCTTGAGTAGCTTTCGAGCATGTTCAAACATCTCTGTCATATGCACCAATCAGTCATTCCGCCTCAATTTCCTATGCGCTTCCTCGTCATGTCTATTGAATGGCTTCACCAGTGACAGCAATATTGCACTAATATGACATAAGACAACTGGCTACGCCCGGCTTGACCAACATGAATGCCAAATTACTCTATCTTCCTTGGGAACGTTGGAAGTGCTGATGAGAAGAGCCGAGGAACTTCACACAGCCGGTACGAAACCATCATAGAGCATTACGCGTCTTCATTTGACAGTTGCTTGAGAGACACAAACTGGTAGTGCAATTAACGTTTTGACTTTCCAGAATCAACCTTCAGAATATGTTGCAAAATAAAAAGATGTGCGCCCTTACGTACTGGTTAATCATCCCGTGTACAAACCACAGCACCACAATAAAGTGTAGTCCGTTGATAGTTGTTTACATCCTTACTTGCAGTCAAGTTCGGTGGAGATATTTTTTCAGGGAACAAAATACTGGCGGCGCTTTATCCATTGAAATACTCATTTTTCTAGTTCGTAACACCTGAGGTTGTCAAATCGAGTAAATAAATCAAAAGTTGTCACACCTAGAACGAGACAGGACCGGTTCAAGCAGATGGAACATTAACAGTAATTTTCAAATGATTCAACGGTTTCACTCCTTCTTCCCAGTCCGGCACTCATCACTTTAAGACATCCTTGAAGAAGCTACTTTCCTACTCGTCTGAAGTAAAAACTATGATTCATTGCCTTTAAATGAGCTTAGGTGACGTTTTTTATCGGTGTTCAGTTGTCTTCCAAATGAGCAGAACCTTGCGGAGCTTCGCCTAAATATCTGTGTAAAATCCCTTCTACGGACCGCCATGATTAGCTAGAAGCAACTGGGCGCCCCAATCAGCCTGGACTGTTTATGCTCATACACCCTTTCCAAGACTGATGAGCTCCTCAAATGACAAAATTTGTCGTGGACTGACAAGGGTTTTCAGCCCACGACCGGTTTCGCCCTTCTTGAGGCCCATCAGGTAGGCGCAGTCCCTAGTTTCCGACAACTTCATGTTCTACTTAAACCAAATTGTACTGTTTTCGAGAACTACACTCATTTGCAAATCAACTTGGTTTTTACGAGAGACTCAACAGAATCACTCGTTTATGATACTCTACAACTGAATATGCTGAACACAGGCCGCCTCATGATTCAGTTGGCACGATATTCGATATATCGCAGTATATTTTCATAAAGGAAAACACTCATAAGGTTGTTAAAAACTATTCGACAGACCACGACCGGTTTCGCCCTTCTTGGGGCTCATCAGGTAGGCGCAGTCCCCGAGTTTCCGTCAAACTTATGTTCTACTTGAACCCAAGGACATAAGGTTGTCACAAACTCGAGGTCTGCGCCTGCTTGATGAGCGTCAGAGAGGACGAAACATGTGGTGGGCCGTCGATTAATTTTAAGGAAACTTATGACTAACGTTTCTTTATTCAACTAGAAAACAATCGTTTGTAAAAGGGTTACGTCAAGTTAAATGCTCCCACAGAATTATATGTAGGTATGTTTACTGTTACATATTTTTGTATTGTTATTACACTATTGTGTACTGCCGTTTTCAGTCTGCGACGGATTTTCCCTTCCTAAATATTGTTTCTAAATAGAATGAGCAGAAAACGCGGGGTAGCTTCCATGAGACTATTAGAGACCAAATATTTATTGTCCTTTTTAACCAAGCTGTGGTACGTACAGCTTCTGGTCAGCGTCCGATGATACAATTGGAAAGCACTCATGCTTCATAAAGAAATGAGTTGTTGCAAACGGGTGTAAGGCAAACATGGTCAAACGTTGGAGAGAAGAGAGCATAGACAATTTTATTGGCTGACCTGAGTTGCGTAGGCCCGTACCCTGTACCCAGTACCCATTTCTAATTGGTTTCAACATCGCTGTCCTATCTGTGAGCCGATTTGTTGAGAATCTGCTTGTTGACACTGTCCCGAATCTGATGGTGTCAGAATAATGAGTCGCTACAGAATACCTAGAATGAACTAGCCAGAAAGAATGCAATCCAACTGGATTGAAACTGCGGACAACCGTATTTTTCGAGTCTATATTTCGAGCTCCTAATTCATTAGATATACTAATTGTCCGATTTTTAGGCCTTTAGTGGCTGGAAGCGTTTTTCTGGAGAGTTGGGTTCCCTGTTGAAGGAGCAGCTTTGCTATTAAGATCACCTTATGCAACTAGCCGTTTAAAAATTCGGAAGGCAGTTGTATGACATGGAGCCATGTGATTTAACGACCTGCTTCATAGTGACGTCATGGGTCCTACAGAGGAAATTATTTTAATTCTTGCGTATATTATCAGAAAATACCTCTGGATTGCCTGAACCTTTCTGTTCAAAAGATAACGAGGTAACGAAGTTCCTGACAGACTGAGCAGCAAACAGTACAGCATTTCGTTGACTGGGTGGCTACAGGTTTAATGGTGATACTACTGATGGGGTGGCTTGTGAGTAGTATGTTTTCTTGTAAATCCGCTTTGCGTCTCTTGAAAAGTGGGGGATCTATAACGGAATTTGTGGAGTCACTTTGTAGCATTTGCTTGGATTTGAGCAACAGTCAATGAATATCCATGAAATTCCAGGAAGAACCGTTTCACGGAGAAGATGGAAATTTAGTTTCTGTAAACAGGATGCATATGAGAGTTTGCTCCCCTGTCCACTGCTCTGCAACTGTTCAGTTGGCATTTTCTAATGAATAACTCCGCAGCGAAGGCCTCCTTACTTTCACAGATACTTGAATTCCTCACCTAAGCGGCTACGATAACAACACTTTGGCTGATTCCTCTGCACTCCGTCCGCTCCTCTCCACCTCAGTCAGAATAGAATTAAAAAGTAGCATCTGGGTAACAGATAACTGACCAAAGTCTTTTTGTTCAACTGGACAAAATAATATTCCAAAATACGCTTGGCCAAATATACCTTTGTTGGAATAGTGTCAAACGAGGCTACTTCGAAATGCGTTCCCGAATTCACCTTCTGCAAATCAAAGCCTAGCACAGTCCACAAAACCACGCCTTTATTCCCGAAGAACACCAGAGTATTCCCACAGTTACCTTTGATGATCTGAACTTGGAAATTTCTGTTTATCTTCGGTTAGTCGAACACCTGGGATCAACTTACCACCCTAGTGTGCACCTGTTACGTCCACATTCTAACATATTGTTCATCGTTGAACCAAAAGCTGTGTAGTCAGAAAACTTATCCCGCCCGACCACTTGCTTGGTGTGACTGCCCACTGCTTTCTACCTTAGTTTTAAGTCAAAATATTGTGCCCGCAAAATATGAGCGTGGATCCTACACTCAAATTTTATAGTGTGTTCTGGACAGCCACGTTAAAGTGAATTCCAGTGCAAGAAACTCTAAAGTCATGAGATGTCTGTCCACAGTGAAATCAGGCTGCTATCAATTAGGAAAGAATTCTATTTATCTGTTTATAATGTATCCTTCTTATTGAGTTCGAACATCTGAAAAATCTGTTGGCAGTTTAAGCAAACCATCTCAATTCTGAGCATTGAGAGAAAACCTCAGAGTATTTCTGATAAGAAATACTGTAGTGGAATGGGAGTTGATAGGAATGTCCTCTAAGTACTGGTGTAACGGTGATACTATTGATGGGGAGGCATGCGAGTAGTATGTTTTCTCGTAAATCCGCTTTGCGTCCCTTGAAAACTGACAGCTATTGCGGAATTTGTGGTGTCGCTTTGTAGCATTTGCTTGGATTCGAGCAACTGTCAATGAATATCCAGGAAAGTTCTGGAAGACGCGGTCAAGGAGAAGATAGATATTCAGTTTTTGTGAACAAAATGCATATGAGAGTTTTGCTTTCCCGTCCAATAATCTGTAACTGTTCAGTTGGCGTTTCCTGAAAGGTCACCATCAGTTACAAGCCTTACGTTCTGCAAACCTCGTATGAGTTACCCGATTTTAATGAATGTTTCTATCACGACGATTACTCGGAACAGTAACCCTACAGGTACGAGAACACAGGACTCGACCTAAGTCTAGCCGAGCTTAGTTTGTGCAAACGAGTATGCTGTACTCTGTGACCAGTTCCACAAACAACTGTGGTGACGCCACTACCTGCAACTTTCGTCCATTGTAAGCGGTTTACATTTTCCCGCTAGCCACGACATCAGACTCACTCAACTAAATGAGTCAGTCGGAAAGAGAATTTGCAAAAAAAATTGCACTGGGCATCGACATTATTGACTAGGATGTGGTAACCTAGTCCACGACCAAATTCACCCTTCTTGGGGATCATCAGGTACTTCCTGTGTTCTGCTTGAACCCGAAATGAACAAATTTGGACAATTAGTCTCAGTTGCACACGAATTTCGCTCTTAAGCGGACCATCATGAATGACAGGTTAAGCTGGATTCAGTTGAGTTTCCTGTCAAAACCAAAGTCGTGCGTAAATAAGAGAATTTGTCATATCGGTGGGACTGTTCCAAATGAACAACAGGAGACCGGTGCGGTGTGATGGACTTGCAGAAGCCGTTTCTCATTGGATGAGCTACGCCGATCGTGCTTTGACAAGCCAGTGAACTCTTTTCAAATCGGTTAGGCGCTAAACTGGTGCTCGGACGAGCACGTGATTTATGCTTAATTAAGGTTGGCTACTTACTAGAAGGGTAGTGTGCCCCTGAGGCTCTTGCCCCCCAAATAAATAATCGAATTTTTGACGACAAAGAACACTATTTGAAGTGAATTCTTACTTCATAAGGGTACCTGTGTAACGGTGATACTACTGATGAGAAGGCATACGAGTAGCATGTTTTGTCCTCGTAAATTCGCTTTGCGTCTCTTGAAAAGGGAGATGTGTTGCGGAATTTGTGAAGTCGCTTTGTAGCATTTGCTTGGATTTGGGCGACGAATGTCAATGAATATCCAGGAAAGTTCAAGAAGACGCGTTCAGGAGAAGATGGATGTTCAGTTTTTGTAAATAAGATGTAAATGAGATTTTTGCTTCCCGTCCAATAGTCTGTAAACGGTCAGATTTTCTTTTCCAACAAATAGCTCCGCAGCGAAAGCCTCCTTCCTTTGACTGTTATAGAAATGGGAGAGTATCATGTTCTCTCCATCCGCTTAGCATCTTTTCCAATAAAGGTCGAGATTTTCTCTCCATTATTGCGGTAAACAAATTTTTCTCCCAAGGATGGCCAAAAACAACGGATCAATAGAATTCGGAAACACAAATCAGCAAGTCAGAATAGTTGTTGACGGCAGTGATCATCCACCATACCGGGTTAATCGAGCATTTATCATCAAACAGACAATAAGCTTGCGATGTTGGGAGCTGAAAAAATCTTTTCCGACAGTCTGAAACTTGTAGGTAAACCTCTTCATTGTATTTCTGTAAGCAGCCAAGGAATTTGCCATAAATAGAACACTTCTCAAAACAATTAGGATAGTTTTAAATGACACAGCCTAATGGTAGATCAGCAAACTCCTGGTAGGTTTGATCCCCTTTTACCTAGTAATTTCGTGCAAACCGAGAAGGATTTCCTTCACACAGTAGCGGCCAAACCCAGTCGCTGAGAGTGAAGCTTGGAAAAAAGTTTTTTGGAATTAAGCCCAATATTATTTTCCAGTGAAAGAAGAAACAATTAATAAAACACCTGCAAGCGGACAAAAATACTTTGCGTTTCACGTAGGATGAAGCCGTATACCAGGAAGAACAGTGTACATGTTAAACAAACACAACAGAAGCAGGTGCTCCTGTGTGTGTACCGCAAACACTTTGAGACCCACAGACAGCCCCTTAAAGACCTGAAACCATCCACTGAAATAATCCATGTGACAGAAAAACTTGGAACTATGTCATTCATGGGAAAAAAAGACTGCAGTTTGCCTCTTCTAAAGTCTCTGGCGCTACAAGTGCGTCTGAAATATGACTGCATTGAACGAAGTTGAGAGCAATATCTTCTTTATTGTTTATTACCAGACCCATGTCTGAAAACAGCTTCCACCCTCTTTCCATACCAACTGAAATTCCTGAGAGCTGCTTTTATGTAGATCACGATAGCCGAATTATGCACACTCATCATGCGATTTTTCTCTGAACAAGTGCGTCTGAAATATGACTGCATTGAACGAAGTTGAGAGCAATATCTTCTTTATTGTTTATTACCAGACCCATGTCTGAAAACAGCTTCCACCCTCTTTCCATACCAACTGAAATTCCTGAGAGCTGCTTTTATGTAGATCACGATAGCCGAATTATGCACACTCATATCATGCGATCTTTTCTCTGATTATTCGTCTAATCTGAAGACAAAGAGGGCGAAATTAGAGGAGCGCCTTGTCACTTAAAGTATGTAGGTTAGACGATGCATAAATTCGATTTGCTATGCATCAAATGCAAGCAAACGACTTTGGATTGTCATTACGCCACTTTTTCCGTCCTTGACTTCCAACACTGTTTGCCTACCAATCAGTCATGTGTGTAGCCAGTACACTGGTTGCCAGAGTGACATAACACATCCCAAAGTCAGGGGTTTACTTTTCTGGCTTATTTGATCCACTTCGTGGCTTTTGGACCTGTGTCATTGTTTGTAGGTAGGTTTAATGCATTAAAGATAGGGATTTTTCTTAAGTCCTTGTACTTGTTTGTTCAACTTACTCTGTTATCACCACACGAAGAGCCTTCCGCCCAAGCTGCCTCCATCGGTAAACATGCACCGGTCTCGGAATCTTGACAATACACTTGGCGACATACAGGTAACTGGAGCATAAAAACAAGATCAAACAAAAAAACAAGATCAACCAGTATCTGTGAGCCAACACATATTGGACGATGTATCTGACGCTGGTCTAGACAAAACGATGCTACTGATATCTTACTGAATTAGATTGACAAGCCGGCTGGAACAAAATACTTTGCCGGTGGTAAGTTTGCCAGTGCGTTTATCCACTTCACCCTCGAAATTCTGATACAATATGTGTGTATACCAAAGGAATCGAGCTTTTCAACTCTATGCTTCATATCTTTATATTGGGAATGTCTTCAGACAGCTAATTGCAGGTTAGAGAAATACAAAATACGCTCAGGTACGGGCCCGTAGACTTCAGCCACCAATGCCTTATCTGAAGAGCATTACAAAAGGCAGTATTATCAAAAGGCCGTCTAATGCAAACTCCTACAGGCAGTGTCAGTGTGAAAAAGTTCCCATCGTATGCAAAGATACTTCTACTCCAGAAATCACTATGATCATCCATATAGGCTGACTGCGTTGATCACTGGGGTGTCCCCAGTCCGTTGTTGTCGTAAACTCCCGGCATATTTGGTTTTCTGGAATCCATTCTTCTGGAAATTGAAAGCTTTTGTTTTGCCGCTCTAACAAGAATGACTCTTTGTTGCCATTATATAAAAATAAACACATCGTTCCACTCAGGGGGAAGCAAAGTGCCTGAAGCGCAAGAAACGTTTGTATCACTTTGAAACAGATGACTTCAAAGGTAAAAACCATTGTTCATGTGGTGCATTGGAACGATTTTTAATAGTTGACTTTATATAATTGTGGGGTAAATGACAGGTATATTTGCTTACCAAATGACCACAAAATCGAGTCGCGTGATCTTTCAGAACAAACTGACATTGCTGGTCCAACGAAAATACAGACCCTGGAAGGTCGCTTTGTGAACGTTTGGCCAACCAGTCACTGGTTTGTAGTGCAGATGGCATATCTTGACGACGTAAACAGGAAGCGCCAGGTGATCTGTAGTAATAACCAGATAACGGCTTATGCGTACGCTTCATGTACGGAATAAAATCGTTCTTTGTTTGTGAACTCGTTACGTCAGAAGATGTCAGACCTCGAAAGCGTAAAGTTTGATGGTGTCACCTCCGTGTCCCTCACGGAAAACTGAGGAACTCAGGTGGTGTGAAAGTAAATGAGAGATTCTTGACTTGAGGTGATGTTTAAAGTGACCAAACTAAAGAGACAACAGAGTCGTATGGCGACAGGAACAGGATGATATCATCGGTTCTTTGAAGATGATTATCTCGACCCATCATTTCATCGGAAAAGTACATCAACTAAGTTCGCTGCCGTCAAACGACCAAATTAGACAAGCAAATGAACTCCTCTTAATCGGAAAGGATCCACATGATATTGATTGAAAAGTTTTGACATCTTAGAGGCTATGTGTTATGTCAAGTAACTCTACTGTGCTTTTTCCCGAATGTCATTCAAATTGGAACATGAGGTATGCTTCGGGCAGCTAACTCAGTTTGAAAATATCACGGACGAAACGTTCACTTGAGTCCCCTGTCAATTCTAATGTAAATTTTGAAACGTATTCGGCAAGCAAAATGTTTCATTGTAGATCCACAACTTGTGTTCCATCATTTTTACAAGTAACGTCAACTTACTACTCATGAGAGCTTGTCTAGAGCAGTGAAAACCTGCCGGTTAGACAGTCCAGCGAAGATTCGGAGCTACCCCCTACGCATACTATTGTAGACGAGATGTTGGTAGCTCAGGAAGCATGGATGATGGTTTGTGTGTTTGGTGAGCTAGGCAATTCGACTGCAATCAAACTGCCAGAATTAGATGGCAAAACGTAGAAGATCAAGACATTCGGAGTACAAGTAGGTAGTGGAACAAATATGGCATAAGCTACTGGAGATATGGCATAACAAGCAATTTGATTAGTCAGAGTGATGCTCAAAACATTTGATACAGAAGTGCACCATCTAGCTTTCGGTGTTCGCTCGTCACTTGCACAATTCAGTGATTTGAATTTTTGAAGGAAGTTAAACTCATTCTGGCGCCATATGAGGAGGGAACACTGAAAAAGTCCCCAGCTGCGGGGAAGTCCAACTGGTAATTTTGCCCTCAATACGATGTTCGTCCATCAGAGTTTTGGAATGTGGTTGAGTTTCGGAAAATTACATCCATCAATTTCGTAATTGCTTGAGGCCTGCCTGAGACCTCTTGAGAACAAGCGTGCTAGAAGCTGTTAGACATGTGTTCTGGGATTGAATCTTATTGGACCACCTCTAAAGTCCGCCGTGTTCCTATTTCCCCTCAATTATTTAGGCGCGGAGTTCGAGGCACACAGGATGACATTGGGTTTCATTGTGATCTTCAAGACAGCTATTTAGGGCGGTTTCGTGGAAGGTTTCGTGGAGACTGTGCAGTAGTTCGCGGCAGCAAATGGATTCTATTCCTGCAAACAGGTTTCGCCGGTACTCTCGCTATCATTGTCAGACCCCTCTCTTACGGAAAACAACAGCAGCTGCGATAAACTTCCCGAGGAAAAACACCTAAGCTACGGTCTTTAAAGTTCTTAGGGAGAGGCACCTAGAAGATTTTGGAAACCTTACCAGGATCGTGTCATTTTACGTGCCTTAAGTTGAATTTCTTATGCTTTGTTTACCTCCAAATGCAAAGACTTTGCAGACTTTCTGTTTCCGTATCTCAAATAAACAAGACAAGCAGAATGCAGACTCACTAACATACATTCTCCCGATGACTAATCGGAGAACTAAATGATATAAGCGTATTTTTGCCGAATTTTTACGTTGAATTATGTAACCTAATCATCACCTAAATTAATGGCTGTCAAATGATACCAGACAAGATAAGTCTGAAAGAAGAGCTCTGTAGCCATTCGTCGCCTTTCGTTAACTTGGATTTCCGGTGTTCTTGAGGCGCTGGTAGGGGATAAACATCCGTCATCGTTACTGGCCGAGTCGGTAGTCAGACAGAAATTTAGCATAAACGCCACAGGCTTTGCCATCCACCCAAACGCGGCGATGACGCGGCATATCTCGATGAATAATTTCCAACCTTCATTAGTTTACCATAAACAATGTACATCATATTAATATGGGCACCTAAGACGAATTAGACTTAACCACTTAACTGATGGTGATTCACATCTCAAACTGGATGGGGTGCCGACACTTGATATGTATGCAGACCACAAGTCCAACTGGAGATCAACTGATCTCCAGGTTTCAGGCAGTCACTGTTGCAGATATAAGTTTTAAACAACAAAGCAACTAATCTAGAAAACCGGAAAACTTTCACTGATAATCAATTAGGACATTTTTCGGCCAAGCTGAAAGAAGCAACCATATCCTAATCGGGTTTCGGTTTTCACATTTTCGTTTTCTACCGAAAGAAATTTGGAGAGGAAATTTTAATGTGACGGTGCCTCGATTTGTACTGCTCTCAAGAAATATTCCCAATGTGAAGGGTCCGGCAATGAAGGCTTTGAATAATAGTATGGGGCGAAACAACAATATATATATACATGTAAATATGAGACCGATTACCGGTGTTGTAGATGAATTAGGGGCAATTTTGGGGAACCTCTAATGAACTGCAAACTGGTCATCTGATTTAGGGTTCCGAACAGCCAAAAAGGTAGAATGGGATTCGATCAATTCAGACAAAGTTGTAGATATGAGCGGTGGTGTGCAAACGGTCACTTGTCTGTGTACCTGCGTGGCCCCTCTCAAAGTCCGGGATCTAAGGTAGTAAGATCACTCTGGGTAATCAGTTTAGAGTTGGACTATAACGATAAAACAAGAAAAAGTGTCAGCATCGAAACGCTTTCACTTCTGAACTCCGTTGTTTACAGCAAATGATGTGGCCCAAATTGATGTCACTCAGCAATGTGGCATGAAATCAGTTCCATCTGTGGTAGGTATTAGCTGACGCATAACGAACTCCCAAGGGACCCAGTTGAACTCCAGCTGAATCTCGCGAACAGTCTTCAGAACACCACGTGCCAGGTGATATTTCAATAACTCCCAACGTATATAGCCGAATACACTCACTGGCAAATAAATTTCGTTTTGCGGGAGAATCACATAGAACCTAGATGAATTTCTAATTTGTGATAATTCTAGGCGACTGAATGTGCCGCACCGGGCCACTTAATGTAGCAGTTCGTAAGATATTCGAGGTATCCCGATACATATCTAGATGTACATATCTAGATGTAAGGCATTATAAACGCGAGATTTAGTTGGGTAACAGGTGAGTCTCTCGCAAAACCAAATTTGTTTGAAAATGAGTGTATTTCGCCAGTTTCACGTACAAATTAAGGTGGCCGGATACTCGGGGACTGCGCCTACTTGATGAGCCTCAAGAAGGGCGAAACCGGTCACAGGCTGTTGAAGAATCTTCAGCCAACGTATCAGTAGTGTATTACGTCCCAAAATCTTTCCTTTCACACCAAGATACTGTTCAAAAGCACTAAGACACAAGCTGAGCTGTGCCCTATGGTGTAACACCTTTTGGTGATTGTTGTGCGTACCTCCGCTTTCAACATACCTTGCCATTTTCAAGCATTCCCTATCAATCTTTTCCAACCATGCTACTCCCGTTTTCTTCCACACCAAGAGATATTTGTGCCTTACTACTTCCATAGCGCTGGTTTTTGGAAACTCACTTTTTGACCAGAATAAAAGTTACCGGATGAACTGTTATATCTACATCTAAGGTGTTTCAAGTTATAAGCGTACTCACTTTACTAAAAGCCACAAAACCAATCCATGCAAATAGACACGTTATTTGCAAACCGTCTTTCTTATTCCTTTTAGACTCTAATGAATGAAATTCAGGCCTTTTACTGCGGTGCTTCACCCAGTAAGTGGTTATTAGGTCCGTTACGTCATCCAACGTTTCTACGTTTTGCAATAACCTCATTCTGGTTTGTATTGCAGACGAGTTTGGTTGTGATTAGAGGTCATTGTCAGTGCATTTACGTGGCCGTGGGGGGATCTGAACACCGGATATCTAACGCGTCACCTGAGTTTGTTGCTAATACTTCAATCGTGCACACTATGCGTACTTGAAATTACCATGTATTTTGATGCAACCGATGAAGTGGTGGTCTGTAATTGGTGGTACGAAAACGCGTATAGTGAAGTTTATGTTCCAAGGAATCTTGTTAGAGACCATGAGGCGGTAGGCGAGAAGTCTTTGCACGTGTATCTACACGTTTAGGTCCTTGATGCGGCCCTTTTGAATAGGAAGCCAGAAAGACTCCGCACGTGACTTTTCCACTAGAGTTGTAGAAGAGGAGCAAACGAGGTTTTCAACAAATGGCCATTTTCTTGGAGACCACCAGCGGAATCTCTTGAAAAGTTCCCTCATAGGTTGCACAAACTGTTTGATCACAAACGTGACAATGCTTGTATTATTTCAGCTAATGACTTAAACGTTCAGTTTTGAACCGTCACATAAGATTTTGATGATATTATCTCGGTTCTGGGAGTTAGAAATGAGCGGAATTTCAAAGAAAACCAAAACCCAACAGAGAACTTTATTCTAAGACCTCCTAAAAGAAGTACTTCCGTGTCTGTCACAAATAAGTGAAAAAACTAACTACAAGATACTGTTCAAAAGCACTAAGACACAAGCTGAGCTGTGCCCTATGGTGTAACACCTTTTGGTGATTGTTGTGCGTACCTCCACTTTCAACATACCTTGTCATTTTCAAGCATTCCATATCAATCTTTTCCAACCATGCTACTCCCGTTTTCTTCCACACCAAGAGATATTTGTGCCTTACTACTTCCATAGCGCTGGTTTTTGGAAACTCACTTTTTGACCAGAATAAAAGTTACCGGATGAACTGTTATATCTACATCTAAGGTGTTTCAAGTTATAAGCGTACTCACTTTACTAAAAGCCACAAAACCAATCCATGCAAATAGACACGTTATTTGCAAACCGTCTTTCATATTCCTTTTAGACTCTAATGAATGAAATTCAGGACTTTTACTGGGTGCTTCACCCAGTAAGTGGTTATTAGGTCCGTTACGTCATCCAACGTTTCTACGTTTTGCAATAACCTCATTCTGGTTTGTATTGCAGACGAGTTTGGTTGTGATTAGAGGTCATTGTCAGTGCATTTACGTGGCCGTGGGGGGATCTGAACACCGGATATCTAACGCGTCACCTGAGTTTGTTGCTAATACTTCAATCGTGCACACTATGCGTACTTGAAATTACCATGTATTTTGATGCAACCGATGAAGTGGTGGTCTGTAATTGGTGGTACGAAAACGCGTATAGTGAAGTTTGTGTTCCAAGGAATCTTGTTAGAGACCATGAGGCGGTAGGCGAGAAGTCTTTGCACGTGTATCTACACGTTTAGGTCCTTGATGCGGCCCTTTTGAATAGGAAGCCAGAAAGACTCCGCACGTGACTTTTCCACTAGAGTTGTAGAAGAGGAGCAAACGAGGTTTTCAACAAATGGCCATTTTCTTGGAGACCACCAGCGGAATCTCTTGAAAAGTTCCCTCATAGGTTGCACAAACTGTTTGATCACAAACGTGACAATGCTTGTATTATTTCAGCTAATGACTTAAACGTTCAGTTTTGAACCGTCACATAAGATTTTGATGATATTATCTCGGTTCTGGGAGTTAGAAATGAGCGGAATTTCAAAGAAAACCAAAACCCAACAGAGAACTTTATTCTAAGACCTCCTAAAAGAAGTACTTCCGTGTCTGTCACAAATAAGTGAAAACTCAAAACTAACTAACACAGTCAGATCGCTTTTATCCGTTGCTATCCGGCATGTGGGAGGAGTATGAACGCGAAACCATTAAACTTACTCCAGAAAATCTTGAATGGCCTGACGACTGCACGCGGACCAGCGAAGTGGAAAGTTGTCAAAGTACAGTGTTCCAGACATAATCGTATCACGCCTGACCATGTCTTCGATTCGAAGTGGGGGCCAATAAGGCAGTGCACTTTCGAACTCGTCAACCGAAGTGCCATGGGTTGCTGCAGGCAGTTCCATCATATCCGGGGATAACTGTTGTTCCTCCATCCCGCAATCGGAATTCAGTTCAAAGTCATGCTTCGCTCCAAGTCTAATTCGAGAGAACAGAACGAATGCGGTACTTTGTAGGATTTGGAGCGACATATTAACTAGTTCGTTTTACTGGGCAAGAGGATATTGGCAAATACGTGAACAGATCTGCGGAACACAAGTTTGAAATCACCGCCACCAGAATAAGTACGAAGTGTGACCATGGGAGTCAACTGCATTG